GTGACTGTCACGTGACGGCTGAACGTGAAGGAAACTTATAGGTCTTACTTAACTTATATTAAGTTAGCATGCATTGTGTGAGAGCCTATTTAATAATACTAGCAGGAAAATATATATCGTCTCGCTTTATATTTAATAATATCCATGTTATTAAAGTAAATAGAAAGTGGAAAGTGGTCGGCCAGAACCGCATAATATAGTGATATACAGGCCAGAACCACGTACCAAGGACTCAAGGAACTCATTGTGCACTTTATGCTGGGCTGGCATTACTCATTTTATAGTATGCGTAAAATCGTATTTGTTATTTCTAGACAAAATTAAATAATACTGAGGGAGTCGTGTGATTTTGGAATCCGAATATAATTTGTTAGATATCCATTTACTAAATTACATTTTTTTCAAATTTTAATAATTAAAGTAGTCAACGTTGGAACAAGGGCACAGTAAAATGGATTTGCAGTATGCCGGTATGTAAATGTAAAACAAATCGAAACAATTTGGACTGTGCCAATATTATTAGTCCCAGAGAAACTTTGTATTTACGGGAAATTCATATTAAAATTCTACAGGACATCTGGCGACTTTATTACGTAGGTGTGAAGGCCTATGTCATCAAAATTTGAAGGTTTCACTTGAAATGTCTCAAAGCATACCTCTCACATACCTCTGTTTCATATAATATCGAGTTTTCAATTTTGAGCACCGAAATGGGTGGCTCTTGTTAATTTTCTCCCCCAAATATTATCACGTGCCTTTGTTTTAAGAAGCAGAGATAGATCATATTAATCGTTAAAGATCGTTTAAGGTCGTTAAAGATCGTTAAAGATCGCCGTTTAATTTGAATCTATACCGCCAATCAAAAACTCGCCATAGCAGTAATATTTACCCTGAGACAATGCATACACGGAATTATCAGATATATTTATTAGAAACAATTGATCGGTCAGATTACAATTGATATATGACAGCCCCCTTCGACTCTAACCACTTATTATTCATAATATACAACTTGTAGCACTTGAGACTCAAAATATTGACTTTCCATTTTGCGATCATACCAAATTAATAATCATATTATTCAAAGGCTCGTATATTAACGAAGCTATTAATATTAATAGTAAGTAACATGGTAATGCAACCTCATTTCAGCTTCAAACAGGATCCATAATTGCCAGAGTCTCTGATGAGAGGTTGGTCCCACAGTGATCACAGTAGTCTAGACGGATACCTACTTCAATAGAACAGTCAGAAACGCAAAGCATCTTTAAGATCAGGCTATAAATATAGCGATTTTAGTAAATCAAAATAATCTAGTCAAATTTCTGTTGAAAAGTATGTCTGTACTTCAGCTATACTAGTACTATAGTCCATACTTTTCAATATTGCGTTTAAACACGTAGTACTCCTAATTTTATAATGACCACCGTCCATCACCTCCTCCATATTAGGGTACATCTCGCCACAACCTTTAATGCGGTAGACTCTTGTTGGTCCAGATCTAATTAAGACATTATCACGTGACGTCAAGCCTAAACACGATCACCTGACTTGGTCAGAAGCATACGTCACGTGAGATGTTGCGATGCACCGATATGAACCACGATGTGTTAGCAATAGTGATTTAAATACCAAGTAGTCTGAACGCAGCTCCGGTATGCTGTTTTACCTATTTTCTTATCGGTCAGCTGCACAGATCCCAGATATGCAGTCCAGCTTGTCTGCCGGCAGGTTGCTAGGTAACCACCTTTTTGTTACTAGGTAACTATAACCCCTTTACTCCTTTACTTTGGTTATGATGGTTCCGGGAAGGCAGATCTTCAACCCAGCATTATATCCAGGCAGATTGCGATTTTACCTGCTTGTTGCGGTAAAGTAAGTTGACTATATAGCATTTCCTTCCAGTTTTATTCCCTTTAAGTATTATTTTAGTTAATTTGACGGTAGGATACTGAATTGCACACGTTTTGTTTAAAGTAATACGCGAGATGGCCTTCTCCTGCTATTTTTAGAAATGATAGTTCGAGCAGCTGGCTTAATATTAGATTTGATTAATTTCGGTTATTGCTGTGATTGTAGTTAACTTAAACAACTAAACTGAACGTTATACTCTTTGAAGTAATACACAATCTGGAGGCCTATTTACAAAGGCCACCTTTTGAGACGGGCAGTTTGCATTTCATTTGCTGTTCATTGCTTATTTACTGTATCCTCCAATACAGCTATAAGCTAATACAGCTAGTTATATAATATATATGCAGATTGCAGCTAGTTCTTGTGAGCTGTAGATACAGCTTATTTCGCCCCACCCTACACCTTTCTACACAGGGACAGGTGAACGGGGGACATTGTCTAGCCCCTCAGTAAAACTAACAGTGCTATTACTATTAGTGTACAAGGTGCACAAATATATATCCATGAGAAATATTAAAGTATAAACCATCAAACCAAATAATTAAAAATGCATTTAAATTTAGAACTGTTCTGAAAACTAAATTTGATATGTAGGTGGTAACCTTATTGTAATATGATATATTTTGATATATAATTTTGATATATTCTTAAAATACTTTTAACACTCGATATTTTTAATTTCCAGTTTTTCTATACAATTACATAATTGCCATTGGTAAAACTGGATGGTTTTCTTGTAATTGTATATGGATTAATTTAAACGACAACACTTGCCCAACCTTGTAAGGAAACCCGTCACCATGATGCAGATATGAACACGAAAAAGGTTACACCACACACAATAAATTTTCCTTACTCCGTACCAGCACCACTGTCGTTAAACTTATAGTTATAATTTAGATAAATTAGGTATTCCACTACCACGTAGAACTTTAAGTGGAAAGTAAAAACGTCAGCTGGCACCTAAACGTGTTCCTTTTGATTGGCTTATTTATATGTTTCCTAATTAGTTAACTTTGATAAATATTCATAATCATATAGCGACAAATATAACAACTTGACTAAGAACTTGGATCAGTAAAATAATGCGCACGGCCGGTGATCACCTATCAATTGTTTCGATGCATGAACCGTGAAACAACTCATTGATAATGTGTTGGTTATATTGAGGAACAGAGGATTGTCCGATCAGTCCCATTTTCAAAATATTCAATGATCCAAATTTCTTAAAAATAAAATTTTACATTAAGGGCTGACACTTTTATTTATTAAATATTATAACAATGGTGCACCAATTTTAAGATCAAATTTGATTTGAGATATCTAACCAAACAATCTCATTGTGTATTTGTGCAATTGCTGAATGATTGTGTTTGTAATTCTTTAGAAATGGACTGTGGAGCTGAAAGTGTTATAAAGTTATGAATATTATAATTTATATTACATTAATTATTTTACATTATATAATAATAATATAGCATAGCTTGTGCACGTGAATGATTGCAGCACGGCCCTGCAGTACATGCGACTATATATCGATATCATACTCATAGTATTTCACTTGTGGCCCGCTTTCAGTACGACAACTAATTTAAATTAAATCGGCAGCCATATCCTGCAAATTGCAGGGTCTGCAATCAAGGTGTCAAAGGCTAGGAATCAGATCTTGTGATATACTAGGAATATTTTTATTTCGGAGGGATCCATCTCCTAGGTTTTAAATTGCGTATGGGACCACGTTCGCGCGACGCGTTATCGTTAACTGAATTTCTATTTTCTATAGAATATAATACCGGGAAATTTACCACATTGAACATAATTTTCTTTGATCAGGGCAAGTGAGCATTATATCAGCCATTTGACAACATAACCTCTGATCTAAAAAATAAAAATAAAAAGGCTGGTAAGGCCACAATTCTTCCCGGGCCCAGACTTATAGTTATACCAGTATTATTATTAATAATGATTGTCAATAGCTTACATGGACGAGCAAAGCTATGTTCTAGTACTATACTTGACCATTGTTAATGGTCTGGCCCGGCGCGCGCTACTTCGAAGAAATTTAGACGAGTAACATCTGTCAAGTATTATACCTCCGCTATCTTCACAAACAGCTTTGAGAGCTTGACTCCTTCTTTACGGTTTTAAATATTTGGTGCAGTTAAACTTAATTATAGGGGGATCTAACGTCATTCTAACGATCTAACCTGTTCTCACTAGCATGCATGGGGCCAAGAAACTTATACTCAAGCTGGTCTCCTTCCCCTTCAACTTTTCTTTGATCTTTTATAGCATATATTCAAGCGATTGTTGATAATCAACTCTTGTTGCATTGATATGTTACCCAGTACATGATTCCAATATCATCCTGGGTATGAGTATGTGATAGTGGCCCGGTGACATGATAACAATTTGAGCGAAATTCCTCATTTTCGTGACGTTGAACGGTTTTTAAATACAAAAGTTTGTTACTTTATAATTTTCAGTTAGTCATAACAAAACCGCGACCGCCACCGCTGTCAAAACAGATTTACGTCAGCAATAGCGTGAACGAAAAGTGTTAAACACTACATAACCTCTTCTTCGGGGTTAAACGGATAATCATATAAATAGTTTTACCTGAGGACCCGCGGCCCAGTAAAAATAGTTGAGACATTTCAGACGGGCACCTCTTAGTTTTAATCATTAACAGTTCAGTGATCCGCATTTAGAGTCCGTGCTTTATGTTCACTTCGTCAGCTTTAGATTGGATAGCTCTGTAGATTCACATATTTGAGAGCTGTTGCTAAGGTATTGGCAAAGATTCTAAAGTGTTTAATGAATTTCCAACCACGTTTTGAATTTTGATGTTACTTTAATTTCATACAGTGTTTACAGTGTTTACATGTATAATATCACAATTACAGTTGCTCACAACTCCAGCTCCAGTTGCTCTAACACCACACCCGCCTGCAGTAGCTCAATAACTAACACCATCACTAACACCACCACTAACACCACCAGTACCACTAACACCACCACTATCACCACCACTAACACCACCACTAACACCACTACCCGCCTGCAGTAGCTATGTTAGTAGTACGGTGGGCTGCAGCAATCGCCGCAGCTTCAGGTACTAGCAGTAACCTCCTCCTCATCATAGTCTATCTGGTGTGCATGGCCAGGTTTCCTAAACGTACCCTCAACATTCTCAGTCTCATGATGTGCGACCTGGGCAACAGCGCTCTTACCCTCGTAATCCACCTCGCTAGCAGAGACAAGGTATGTTGTATTTTGTTGATATTTTATATAATCCTATCTAAATTATATAGATAGTTATGTTAAATTATTCAGCTGATACAAATTTCAAAAGAGACAAGGAAACCACTTATTTTTGATTTGATGCTTTGTTTTATGTTAATATCTTATAGTTATAATATAATACTATCTAAATAATATGGATGATTATGTTAAATAATTGGGCCGATAAAAATTGCATTGTGATATTATTAAAGCCAACAGTGACAGCCACTTTAAAACTTAGACGTCCTGTTTCGATATCATCATTCAAGTTTTGATATTCTTAAGAATTAGATTCAAGCCTTTAAATAGTTGAACGATCCCATATTCTAACAAGATAACCTCTACAGCTGCTGGCAAAGGGAGTGGACGTGATAGCTCCAATGACACTTGCACTGCAGATTGGTTCCATATTCCACATCAACTCCATCGTTGTTACCAGGTAAACTTACTAAAATATCACTTTGATTTTTCTTCTCAGTTTTTAGTTTATCAATATTGAATAGCATACATTAAACATTTAGCAATAATGTTTCCCGTTGCTCGATGTCAAATTAGCGAGCATCGCCTATGTCATGACGTCATTAAAAGCATTTTGGAGGTGGTGTGTTTCCAATCATCATTAATTCGCTGCCTAACTATAGTGGGACACTTTTAACTTCGCTTTAGATGTCTTCTAAGATGAACTTTGTATTTATACGGTCTCTGCTTTAGTAGTTAAATAGTTATACCCTTATACTTATAAATACATCACTAAGTTGAGTACAGCTTCACGTAACTCCTAGATTCTCTCAATCCTTAAAGTTAAACTTTACTGTTTTTCGAACTGATTCTCTCTCAACAAGTTGAGATAAACTGTTTTACTACAAGGATGTTGTATTATCTAATTGATCATTAAATTAACTAATTTTTCAGGTTGATAGCCTGTGCTAAACCGTTCTGCTACAAAAGATGGGTAACTCGGAGACGGGTTCTGTGCACCGTCCTCTCAGCTTGGGTTATCAGCTCCATTCTTCTACTCCAGGTGGGACCAGTAATCAAGTCGATAACAGTAATATAGATAGCATTAAAGTTTGGCAAGAAAAGTGACAATGAATCTTGATTTAGTTAAGTCTATAACAACAGTACCAATTCCCCATCACCAGTACCACAACATAATTCATCCTAACACCTAACACCCTCAGATCCTGTTAAACTCGAAGCCAGAGCAACCCAGACAATACCCTGTAGACGTGCTGGCGACTAACAGTCAGCTAGTCATGTCCTGCCAGCTAGCCCTCATGATCATTCTTACCATCCTACTGGGGACTATGATACGTCACGTGGCCTACCAACTCATCAACTACAAGAAACGGGACACTAACCTCCACAAACCGTAAGTTTTGGGTTGTTTTTTTATACTTTAAACAATTTGTGTGAATATTACTTTACTGGGCGGCGCTCAGCCTGTCATTCCGCCGAATGTTTATGAACTTAATAACCTGGGGTCCCCAGGTAAATATTACTTTGATCTTTGATGGTTAGGTATAAAGATGACATCATGTTGCTGCATTGTGCAATGTCCATCCCCAGTCGTCCTTTATGTCATGACGGTTATGCGGTTATTTTGAATTTAATGGTGGTAATTCTTCAAATTAATTCACCTGAGAGCGGAGTTCCATTATCTGACTACGCTGGTTATCTAGTTTGACTCCTGGTTCAAATCAAAGATGATCACACAAAGATGATCACACAAAGATGATCACACAAACATGATCACACAAACATGATCACACAAACATGATCACACAAACATGATCACACAAACATGATCACACAAACATGATCACACAAACATTATTACACAAACATTATCACACAAACATGATCACACAAACATGATTACACAAACATGATCACACAAACATGATCACACAAACATGATCACACAAACATGATCACACAAACATGATCACACAAACATGATCACACAAACATGATCACACAAACATGATTACACAAACATGATTACACAAACATGATCACACAAACATGATCACACAAACATGATCACACAAACATGATCACACAAACATGATCACACAAACATGATCACACAAACATGATCACACAAACATGATCACACAAACATGATCACACAAACATGATCACACAAACATGATCACACAAACAAATATACCGATCAATCTAATGATGCATCACCATTTCTTGAACCATGAACGGTTTAACTATTTAAAGTAATAGTCAAGCAGAACCACTAAACTAGCCAGGGTCCAAAGACTTCAGCTTGATTTGACTATTTGAAGGATAAAAGGATAATTTCGTCATTTATGTTAAATTGATGGTTGACTGTATTCAACTCATTACTTGCACTGACGATATAAATTTTAACCCTTTAAATTTTTCAGACAAACAAGAGATTCGCGGAAACGATGCAGTCCAGAAGCTGGCAACATTGCCTCGAGCAGAAGTCGCACAAAACTAACACCCAGCAAGTGCAACACAGGTGGCATCCGTAAAGACTTTATCTTAACCAGGCACATCTACATAATAGTGTGGTCGGTGATCCTATTGACTTTTTACCATGTGATGTACGCTGCACCTATTATTTACATGGCTGCTCAAAAACACTTGAGCACCTCCCATCGGGAGATTTTGCGGGAATTTTGTGTTCTGGGCGGGACTTTCGGGACGCTCGTTAATTCGAGCTTGTTTGCGGTACCCCTCATAAAAGGGAAGCTTATGATTGGCAATTCTAATAAGATTACAGAACGAGAAAGACAAAGGTAGTACACACTGTACAATTTTCAAGGGTTGCATGCTGTGAGTGTCGAGTTCAGAAACGTTATGCTGGAAGTGGAATGGAACTTTAAAATAATAAAATCATAATGATTTTGTGACCCATTTCATAATTCTGTTGTTTGTTCGTTCTGACAATCTTTGTATATTTATATCCATATAAATGAAAGTATGCGAATGAAAAGGTTTAGTTACTTTTTTTCTGATCGTGGAAAGTTACTTTTATTTATTTTATTTCATTGTCAGTGAAGGATTCAATTAAAGCTAAGCCTAAAGGCAAAGCGTGTTTTTACTTTTCACTAAATCTGCCAGCCGTTTTTATTTTTCACCCGATTCGATTTTTACCCTGTATGTAAATGTTGCGGCGAGGGAAGTCTCGGATTTTAAGATTGAGTACCAAATACAGTATTTGATTAGGATATGTTAATTTTATTGTTTTATCATTAATTATGAAAGCTTGTGTAATGTATTCGTTTTCAATTTCAGCTGTAAAATTCGCTTGATTGTTATGAAACCCGGTGTTTCCTTTGAGCAAAAATGAGTGATGAAACGAATTGTCATTACCGCAAAATAACGAGATAATAGTAATACGGTAAACTTGATCAGCTTGGCGCCCGAATTTTTGTTTGTACAAGATTCACACAATATGAATAACTTCACTGATCAGTATCGCTGATGTGTGATCACACTGATCACACATCAGCGACGCAGTCAGAGTATGCTTTCCTTTCGAGGAAAGCTGATCTCCGGGGGACCACAGCTAACTAGAGCCATTTGGGCCTCTGAGGACTCTGATTATTTATGTCTCACTGACTCGAGAGAGAAAGCCAGTTTGTTTCACACACAGCTGTAGTACTTCAATTAATTTTACCATCTGTAATACACGTAAGACATCCGACAGTAGGGAATCACAGGGGATGTGAATTACAAATTTTCAACGACCACTACCAGTACCACCGACGGCTATTATCGCCCGAGCCGCGCAGTAAAACTAAAGGTGGTGGTTAGGAGCAGTTATGGAGTTATGGAGTATTTGGTGGTTGACATTCTGTAATTTCAGGATGGCCAATTAATCATACCCATTCAAGAACTAGAAACCTGGGTAAGAGCTTAGGGGAAGGTGTGGAGGTATATCTCAAAATAAAGCTCCGAAAGTCGAAACATGTGTCTTATAATGGATGTTATACTTAATTTTGTATAACTATTCGCACTGTAAACCCAAGACCATTTCCTTGCTTGTGTACTCCGTTCTTATAATCGCTTTTGATATGGCGTCACATGGCCGGCTCTAACTTTATATGATGAGAAAGAATAAACATGGGTTGCTGAACTAATAATAAGTTAAGTTTAACATTGAGTATCACAAAATAGTTAGAAATATATTAAGAATCAAATTCAATAGTTAAAATTTAAGGAGAAAGTTTCCATCTCCATTTTAACAGCAAAAATTGGGCTATATTCAAGCAAATGAGCCCTGACAAAAATTATCTTGTTTCACAAGAAAGTCATCACACTGTGTTTATCTTTACTCTCAAAAATGTTTGAAACACATTGTCCAGTTCTCTGATACAAATAAACTCATCAATCTGAGCTTTTACTCCGCATCAATTTCAGGTAGCACTCTTTAAAAAACGGATCTACAGTTTTGTCAGGAGTCCATTTGATAGCTGGTGAGATCCAGATCTAAGTCCAGGACTTTGTTCAACAAGTCTGGTTTCAGCCAGCCTACCAGCGGAGTAGGCCCAGCAGCATAGTGACCCCTGAAACAGGTAGTTTTAATAAAACAAATATTATTTCAAAATTGTTATCACCTATCATGGTTAGAAAATAGATATCATGAATTTTGAAAGTTCGCGAGTATCATAGAGAGGAGCGTTACTGTTAGCGGGGTTCTAGAATATTCTACTATATTATATTATTTATATTGTCTGTGTATAATCAATGTGATAATGCAGACTTATATAATTTAAGAAAGGTGGTAAATATCTAATGAGATTTTAAACATCTCCCACCTCATTCAGAAACCCCTAAAAGCCTAAATCAGTGATTTGTCTGTAAGTTTCCCACTATAACGGAGCTGTGGCAGAAAACGAACCAGCAAGTAGTAAGTCTTATAGCTGCTGAGAGCTAACACAGATGATGATAGTGAAAAAGACCAACTCAGACGTGGATTTGACAAGTTTCGTGCGTGAATTAAACTTCGACATTCGACAACCAACAGTCACAATATTATTAATTTGAAGACCACTTACATCTTATGGTAGAAAAGGAAGCCGTCCACCTCAAACTCCTGCTTCTCAGCCATCATCTTCATCAAGTTCTCTTTGGCACAGGGGACACTCGGCAGCCATACCATGGGGTACCTATTAGTGCGCTGCTCCGACGATATCCCTGGTAAGTCTTCGGAGAATTTAGTGGCTCCCCAATAAAACCGAAACTCTGCCTGAAACAGTTAAAAATGACGTGCCTCCCCAATGAAAAATAAAACCTGCCTTAAACAGTTTAAGTAAAGATTACGTCAAGCGGTCATTATAATTTTGTGTTGAAAATTTAATTTCCGCTCACTTTATACTTTTATATAACAGTATGACAACATCGATTAAATGTTTAGATGAAGACGCTCAAGCAGTGATCGACCGAATTCTCGGCCTCGGTTTTACCGAGGAATGACGATTTTGCCTCGGCCTCGGTCAGTCGGTCAGAAGAATGATTCCTCGGTTTGCTAACGATTAGGATGTAGACTACTACTAATCTACTAATCTACTATGTCGGAACTAAGTCCGATCTACGCCAGATAACCCCCTTCATATATCCCTTACTTTTCCGCCAATTACTGTAAAATTAAGCACTTTAAGGCATATTTTTTTCGTAAGTCATATATAAATATGCCAATTGCGGATCTTTTGCACTCTATCCGAAGAATCTATCACGATCTTATCAAAATTTAGTAAAATGGGCTCAGCGCCACGCCCAAAATGGTTTTTGGCGAATTTCTCGAAAAGTAAGGATTTTAGGCCATGACGTGTTGATCAATAACTCCTATATAAACATGCATATGCGGCTTCGTTTAAGCCTATTTTGAAGTCTCTACGACCTTCAGAAGCAAAGGGTCAGTTACGTTATTGGGTCAATATTGGCGTGGCCCTCCCGAGTTTTCCCCACGGTAAAAAAATGTCTCCAACCGACAATCGTTTATTCATACCTTTGGGAAGGTCTATGCAAAGTTTCGTAAGTATCTGAAAATTTGCAGGTTTATTTCCATAAATGTTCATAAATGACTGGACTACTATCATACTCCCCCTCTACTCGATCTTATGTAATGCTTTATGTTGAAATCCTTCTCTGAAAGCCGTTTATTAATGTTCAAAACCTTTACAAAAGCTCTTTAACTATCTCCGCATTCTAACGATATCTATTTAACTTGCAGACTGGAACAACCACTCTACTTAAAAGGAACTTCAAGAGAACTGGTTAATTTGTACTACTTATATTGAAATAATCCTACTTTTAAAAGGTGCTCCTTCCGGCTCTTGTTCTCACCGCAAAACCGATCTTCACAGAGCAGTTCTCACGGTATCCACTAAACTTGGAACCAGCATTCAGCAACTTAACTTGATGCGACTACAAAATAATCAAATTTACCATCACCTGCTACACAGACGGGTCACGCACAGACTCAGGTAGCGGGGCTGGTTATATTATCACCACAGACAACAACAACACTACACTAGATGAAAGATCATTCAAGCTTCCCGATTATTGCACCGTTTATCAAACAGAACTCACTGCCATCATCGAAGCTTGTAAATATCTATCAACTTATACAAACACACACATCATCATATGGTCAGACAGTCTCTCCTCTATTCAAGCCATATCCTCACCTTCAACGAGGAGTAGGACTACTAGAGACTGTTACGACACCCTCAATACACTCGGATCCACTAACACCTTAGAGATCAGATGGATAGCTGCACACATTGGATTGTGGGGTAATGAAAAAGCAGACGAGCTGGCCAAAAATGGTACAACCAGTGAATCCACTTTGAATTGCCCAATTCCACAATCTTACATCAAACGCCTGATCAACGACAAAGTCACAAAACTTAATCAAGAATCATGGATTACTGATGGTCCCAGACACACTAAACTGACACTTGGACATAAAAACATCAACATCATCAAAAATCTCAACACTACACTCAGTAACAACAGACAAAATTATAGAACTGCAGTGCACCTCATCACGGGACATTGTGGCCTCAACAAACACCTACACACCATTCGCAAATCAGACACAAGTGCTTGTCCTAAATGCGGCGACGAAGAGGAGACTGTCTCACACTTTCTCGGACAGTGCCCGGCTATTGCCCAAATAAGAGGTCAATATTTCCGGGACTACTACCTCTCTGTCAATGACATATTCGACAACCAACACATCTCTACCATTGTCAACTTTACAAACCACACTAAACGCTTAGTGGTGCCAGAGGAGTTGGACCAGACAGGTGTAACATAGCGACTACTTTAACACCGTCTTATTTCGCCTCTCTCTTCCACACTCAACCACCACTTAAGCGTTTATCTATGACACACCCCACAACACTTACCATCATCCTTGATTACACATCTTGATTCCACTGGCATCCTCCCACAGGACTGCCATACCCCAGAGGTAGGCAAAGCATTCATATGCTATCCTCTCGTGGGCCAACCAGGCCCAGCCTCTCTTAAAAAAAAAAAAAAAAAAAAAATAATCACAGGAACCCAACACATAAACAGCCATAATATTAATATCAATAATATATTCTTCCAATATTGTTAGTAATATTCTTCTAATAATTAATACGTTCAACAAGTGTCCCCCACCTCGGAGTTATCCACAGGATGAGCTCTGTAACAGATAAGGTCGAGGATGTAGAAGGTGTGGTTAGTGTCACACCACACAGCATCCAACAGAGAGTATGAGGACCTGGTAGCGTTACTGCCCCCCGGGAGCATGGACGGGAAACTTGCTGTTCTGTAACCGTTCTTAGTATAACTCTCCGTCCTCCCCTGGGTAGATAAATAATAATAAATAAATTCTAACATTTATTACACGCTTCGACATTAAAATATACCCAACAAAGATGTACATTTAAGTCATTCAAGCGAGATCTTAGTTATTGGAGGGGTTTGTTTGAGATTCAAAGGTTAAGGGTTACTACTTCTCTGGTGGCTCTTAGTTGTGTTAATCGGTTCCTAAATGTATGAGCTACTATAACTTCCCACGGTGCTCCAAGAGCTTACATGTGAACTACTTGGTGACGTATGCAGTGACCTCAAGCCACTAAAACGCTCTGACTGGTAGTGGCATCTTATCATATTCTCCATTATGTTGTAATGTCTGTCAGACAAGCTTTACTATGCTCATGTCAGTATGATTGGGCAGTCCAAACCAACTACGTACTATGGTACTATGTATAATGTTAGTAGTCTGCATTTTATTTGTTAACAGCAAGCACTGATAATAACCATAAGACAGTCTGGACCGGATATCAAAACTGTTTCAGACGACAGATAGATCAAGCGTTATTAGATAATAACTCTTAGGCCGCAACACGATTACGAGTCTGGAAGCTTAGATCTTGTGTTATCATAGCTTAGTTTAGGTCACATGACCAACAACCCGACTGCTAACCATTTAGCAGCGACTTATCACATTAGAGTTTAGACTGTGGATAAAGCCTGCTCATTTGCTGTATAACTCTATGAGACTGGTATATCTCTGGATGGGTTGTCGGATCATAGTGAAGCAAGTTTGAGGCTTGACTACAAAAACCTTGACCTGGTGAACTTGGAGGGGGTTTTGAAACATATTATAAATAATGCGAAAGGTTTTATTAGCAGGAGCTCTTAAAATGTGTTTATCGTCTTCAGCTGGTAACATTGTTGCCTGCACAGAGCAATTTTCAATGCGATCACGTGCAGTGATAACGACTTATTTGTTCAGAAAATAATAAACTTTAGACACTTTCAAAGATATTTCTCAGCTAACTGTGCAGTGAGACCATCTTTAGCTAAGTTTTCTGCAGTGCAGTTGGACCATCTGCAGCCGAGGCATTTGAGTACAGTTAAACCATCTGTAGCTAATTTTACTGGAGTACATTTAGACTATGATTCGAACAGTCTAACTGAATGAAATTGCAATCCAAATTTACATTCCTCGTTACTAGAATTTGAGATCTATTACTGTAAGAATATTTTCAGAATTTCGGTGACTTCATCCCCTGACCACTAAATTGGTACAACAAAATCTTATTGGATTTATCATTTCACATTGCTAGATTTTAATCCTGAAAGCAAACTTCCTGATAAATTATCCAAGAGACTGGAATATGCATCCCTTCTTCGAACCACATTTAAAATTGCATTATTCGTTCTTGAAACTGTGTTTGAAAATAATAATTTTTGCAGAATTTCTTCTATGCCTTTTGCACGAGGAACATGCATTCGGGGATCTGTACGCATCTGCTATCCTCCTGCCGATAAAAATAGAATTTGACAGGATGCAGCTGTCGGCCATCCTGTCAGATGCTTTAACTTTTTTACAGGCACAGTTGATACTGAACATTTCCTTCATACTTAAATCCTAACTGCACAAAATTTAATATTGCCTGCAAATCAAGGGATAGCTTGAGGTCCGAGATGTCACAGTGTGTCTGAAATGTCGCAGTGTGTCTGAAATGTCAGTGTGTCTGAAATGTCTTAGTGTCTGAAATGTGACATTTTGTCAGGTCTCTGACATTTCACACTTACAAAGAGGCCCTGCTCGATTTCCTCTTATATATTTAAATATTTAAATATAGTTCTGTATGACCTGAAAGCGTTTAGAACCACTCCCTGGAGACAGGTTTGGGAAGAGTGGGCGGTACTTACCTTCGCCATTATGATGCTTATGGAGGGTGCAGAACCTGCAGTCACATGTACACACCATAACTATACTAACTTTGAAGTTGAGCAACTTTTCTATGAGAAGTTTCTCACTTCGTGGACTATATTAGAATTGTAAAGTCAGTCTTGCACATTTTAGGGCAATTGTGATACCACAAGCAGTGGACAATTACTGTTAACTGTTAAGGAACAGTTTAACATATCATCTTAAAGAGAACAAAACCAAGAACAAACCCCCTGGTGACCGGTAACCCACCTTGTGAGCCACTATTAGAGTTCTGTGCCCAACAAGAACAAACCCCCTGGTGACCGGTAACCCACCTTGTGAGCCACTATTAGAGTTCTGTGCCCAACAAGAACAAACCCCCTGGTGACCGGTAACCCACCTTGTGAGCCACTATTAGAGTTCTGTGCCCAAAAAGAACAAACCCCCTGGTGACCGGTAACCCACCTTGTGAGCCACTATTAGAGGTCTGTGCCCAACAAGAACAAACCCCCTGGTGACCGGTAACCCACCTTGTGAGCCACTATTAGAGGTCTGTGCCCAACAAGAACAAACCCCCTGGTGACCGGTAACCCACCTTGTGAGCCACTATTAGAGTTCTGTGCCCAACAGGGGCAAATTTGCACAGCCAGTTCTCTTCAAAATCATCAGGCTTATCTTGTAGCCACTCTGATAGCATTAGCTGAAGATAGTTAGTTAGATAGTTAGTTAGTTAAGTTAAGTTAGTTAGTTAGTTAGTTAAGTTACTTAGTTAGTTAGTTAAGTGGGTTATACGGACCTCAATTCTATTGAACGGGTTATATGATAAAACACTGTGCAGTGTGCAGCGACGTCTGGGTTAAGATTTTAACTACAGTTTCATTCAGGCGATCGCTTCCAATATCCAGAAAGTGACATTTAAAATACCTGGTTTTTATAAGGGTTAGTCTTCTCAGGACTCTGCGACTCCTCCTCGATATTGCGCAATGCGGAGAGGCTGCTCTGTCGATCACTGGACATTTTGGTGAACATACAATTTATATAATTATAAAATTACTATATAATTCTCGGTTTTACTATAATTATAAGCAATACTTTAGCCGAAAATGTCAGATGATTATTGAAGGGCTGGAACTTAATCAAGTAATGTATTAAACTAATTACAACACTACAAATCTATTACATTTATTGAGGACGTTACAGAAGGTATTAATTTAATGTAGTTGGAGGAGTCCTAACTCTCCTCACGTCCGAAAATGGCGTTCCTCATGTATCAAATATGACGGACTCCTAAGGAGCAAGAATAATGTATTATCGTTAATAATGCCACTTATAGTATGTTATAGAACTGTACCTCTTTTGCCTTTCCAAGAACTTGGCTCGCCTGGTTTCCTGGTCTTGTTTAGAAGTCTTGGTCTTGTACAGATCGATCCTGATTAGAGAATAAAATGAAAAATCACAGGCATAATTCCATCTTGATGGAACAAATGCGTTTTAAGACCAAATTTACAAACATTTCTAGGGTGTTCCAACGACTTGTCAGATCTTTCAATCTTTGCACTGCTGCAAGAGCTAGCAGATATTTGTGTAGTTTTATTAAAGATGATAGTTACTTACCGCGACACTGCACAGTTTTCTTCATTAGAAACACTGAAGGAGGAGAGATCGCTAACCAGCTCCTCGAAATTGTCCCCCATCTTGTGTAAATAACCAGATGAACAGCCTCCTTCCGCTGAGAAACCAAAATATTATTATTTTATTAGGATAGTTAGATAGTACAATCATGGGGTTTTCATTTCATCAGTTATTCTTTCGTGATGTGTTTAAGAAAATAACCTTATAAGCTTTTACCGCGGAATTAACCATGCGATAATGAAATTTAGGGTCTGAGAAATTTCAATAAACCGTGATATTAAGGAATTAAAAGTGAAACTCCCGAACTTCTAGGTCTTATAATACTAATAATTTCTTCAATATCCACTGCATCGACACAATTCTATGACATTTACTGAGGATGAAATACAAGGAGTAATATTTGACTGTAGGATGAGGAGTACTTATCCTCTTCTCATGTTACTTATCCTCTCCTCATCTTACTTATCCTCTTCATATCTTACTTATCCTCTTCATATCTTACTTATCCTATTCTCATCGTACAATCTTGTTGTTCCTCTCCAAAAGTATGGGACATTCTTGGTAATATTGTGGTATATAGTTACTAAATTTGCGTTCATTCAGTTTTTGGAAAGATAACTGGAGTCAAACTGAGTTAGCCGTTTAGTCATATCATGATATTATAATATCGAACAGTTTGTCCCCTACTTTATCGCTCTTCCTATAAATATTATTCTACTGAATGGTCTAATGATTAAACCATTATGTTGTTACATAGTACCAGGTAGTGCCATTAAAATTCTACTTTAACTCTTTAATACTGATAAAAAATCATCAGTATTAAACATTAAATATGCAATATTAAGATAAAATATGAAACTTACTATACAGTTAAGACGGGGGAGATGTCTTTGATCTCTGTTACCCGGTTGTAGTCATCTAAGCTGGACAGTCATTACTCTCGCCTGTTCATGGAAATGGGTTAGTGAGCCTAGGGGAACAAATTGCAGTATTGATTAAAGCTGTTCGTAAAATAAATACAGAGCAGGGGACACCGACAATAACTAGTCCGGTGTCTCAACAGGTTGACATAAGTGGCACATTGAGTATTGACATACATTGAGGGGACCCATTTGATCGTCTTCACCTGTATCGTTGGTTAAATAACCACGATTGAAACCACGATAACGACGATAACCACGATATTGTTTACAATATAATGGTTACGTTATTGATTAAATATCAACTATTGTAAGTTATTGACTACTAGCATATCGGAGTGACGTGGTCATGATACAAAGATTTCATGTCATCAAATAAATAGAAGAAAAGACTGAATACATTATAAGTTCAACTAGACAAAACAACGGTTATCATTATATTACATCAAACTAAATCCCCAAATGAACAAATAATATCACTTTCTAAAAATCAAAACATAGTCAACACTTCACAACACACCATCCTTAAACATCTTCACAATGGTCCTGCAATCCTCAAGCTCCATGGGCCCGTACCTAACCGTCTCAATCCTCAAAACGGAGGCACTACCTCTAGAAATGTGTCTCATCCGGCTGCTGAAGTCAGTAAGTTTGGAAAGTGGGGCATTACCCACCAGACTGAACCAGTCTCCCCCCTTTGAGAAGGACATCTGGTATTCTAGGGATCCTGCTCTCAAGGAGAAGTCCGCCATGATAGCTGAGGAGTATTCTTGAGGACCTTCTACTTCTATCTCTGCAAATGGTTCGCAAAGTGTCATCAAGGACTGGTTATCTTTGAAAATTTGTTTGATTGCAGTTTTCACCATGAGATTAAGGACTCTCTTCTCTTCTTTGGAGGGAAATTTGTTGTGGTCGGGTGGGTTAAGGTTAAAAGAGGCAGTGATGTGACAGTTTGATAATTGCAGACCGACCAGAGGACCAATAGTAAGAGAACTAGCAATAGCAGGCTCCACTACTTCACGGGTTATTGGGCAAACATTCTCAACAGCAACAACTTTCCCAGATTCAGCTGGAGATATTGTCAGATGAAGTTCTCCGAGAGGGCCCGAGTGGAAATGCTCTATTGGTTGAGACACAGTTTCCATGTAGTTAACCCTGAACTTGTAAGCTTTGCACTCCAGACCATGCTCGTCCTTTATTCTCTCTCTGACCACACTGAGATGGAGCTGACCCGTTCCCCCCAGAACCAACTCTCCGTTTTGGCTCTTCTTTAGTGTCAAAGTGGGGTCCTCAAACGTCATGGCAGTTAAAACTTTTTCTAATCTATCATTTGATATAGAGTCTGTTGCCTCGATGGTACAGAAGAAAAGAGGCTTTCCATAGGTCATAGTTGATTTCAATGTTGTGTTAGATTCGACCAATTCATCAAGATTGCCACCTTTTGATGCGAATGATTCTGCTACGAAAACATCACCAGTCCTGAAGTCCTTGCAACCAGCAATCATTGTAATACCCCCTGCTTCACACGAACTTTGCAATTTCACTTTATCAGCATCTATTTGAAAAAGATTAGACACTTGATAAGACCGTTTAGTTCTGACATTAAGAACTTTACTCCGAGGCTGTAAAGTCCCAGAATAGAGCCGAGTCTGGCATAAAACCCCTCTGTTTGGATCAAGAGAACTTTTGAAAACCACGCCACATATCTGATCTCTTAAACCTGCAGGAAGCTTTGAGACGGTATGCAATGGTGACGGCAAGTACTGAATAATAAAATCTAGACATGATCCTATCCCAACTCCTGCTAAGCCTGACCCCACACATACAGGCGTTACTTTACCTAAATGGAGCTGCCTTTTGACGCTTTCTGAGATCTCCAAGGGAGGTATCTTGGAAGGATCACAGTCGTGTGTGAAGTACAGATCCTCCATAACCTCATCTACCTCTGCGAGAGACTCAACTGTGTCCGTCAACACATCAGAGGAGGGTGTATTAGAGACCCCAACTAGCTGATTATCCTCATCATAAACAGGGTGATTAACTAACACAGGTACCGTTCTTAATGTGTTCCTTATTGAGGACATGCAAAGATCAATGTCCCTTTTTCCTCTGTCTAATTTATTCAAAAACACGAGTCTAGGCACACAAAACTTCTCCAGCTGCTTCCAAACAGTAACAGTTTGAGCCTCGACCCCCCGAGTTCCATCTATCACCACCAAGGCCCCATCCAGTACCCTCAGGGACCTCTCCACCTCAAAACTAAAGTCAACATGCCCGGGCGTGTCTATGATGTTAAAGAGGTGACCGGACCAGTGTGTCTGGACGAAGGCAGAGTTCACGGTGATACCTCTGTTCTGTTCACATGGGAGGAAGTCTGTGGTGGTGTTGCCGTGTTTGATGGTCCCCGCTGCTCGTATGGCCCCAGTTTCGTATAAAATACGCTCAGTCACTGTAGTTTTACCTGAGGTTCAGAGCCGAATTAATATTCTGAGGTAAATTCGATTCCGACTGCAGATTTTGTCACAAATTAGGTAATCTAATTTCACTCAGCAAAACGACAAAATGTTTCTTCACGTTCATTTATATCCTACACTTCATGCTTTGAATTAAACTTTAGTGATCAGTGAAGTAGATATAATTATCATGTTTGAAGTCTCAACAACAGCCACATTATTTCCACTACGATTTAAACTCTAAATTTACCTGCATCAATATGAGCTACAATTCCGATATTCCGTATTTTACTGGCTTCAGTCGAGAAATATCTAAAATACCGACATCTTCTTCTCAGGATAAGCTGGCATCTTGCGCGGGCTTGTGACAGTATCATTCACCGTTCGTCATGTCAAGTTTTCATATAAACATATATAAAAACTGCTTCCTGATAGTTTAGGTGGTTACTCTAATATGGTCGTGGAAGCACTCTGATTTTCACCCTTCTCAATTATAATCTTATAATAGTTTCTTGACTCATGATTTTAATGGTTACTCGCTTACAGTCAAAATCTAATTTTATCAAAAATGATGTTACACAGTATTTGAGCATACATGTTGAAGTTCAAGACTTAATAAGGACACAATCATTGACACATAGTTCTCAATTTTTAAAAATATAATGCTAAAATTAAACCTCTTTAACCTATTAATATAATAGCTCTTATAATATATAGTTTGTAATAAATTAGTCTTCATCAGGATAACTGTTAAGAATATCAGTCCAACTATGACCAAATCTCTCCAAACTGTACTTCAATTGGAGGCCACTAAAACTATAAGCACTCGAACAATGTTCTCGTAACTCTGCACACATATGAAACTTTATTTTAAATTTCCCATCACTGAGTTCGCATAAATACACAAGTCAGAACGCGAACGGTCCATTCTCAGACTCATATTCGTCACAGTCACCGTAAAAAAAGATTTTATATAATAAGTATAACGATTAAAAACATTCCTGAACTATAAGAATCCCCCTTTAAGAGTGTTGTCAACTGATTTCAGTGACCGGAATGCCACTCACATCCTCGCACAGAAGGGTCTTGAGACAATGATTGTAAAACTCAGGGTGATACTGACAAGCGCGCTGGTTATCAGGATTAAAGTTAACTTCGAGGAGTTGGGGAACTATTTCAGTCTTGTCACCGTTCCACTTCAGCATCATATCCAGAGCGTAGATAGCTCTTGATTGGGCTGAGTGGGCAATGCCACGTGGAGGTGGCAGGGATACAGCACTTTCGAAACATTCCTTGATCATAGAACAGAGCTTCTGATCGATTTCCGTCCAGGACTGATCGGGATATTGCTGTTCGAACATCTCCAGAAATTCCACGTCACCGATTTGTTTTAATTCTGTGGCATCATTGTAGTTCATAACGGTGAAGTGCTTCTCGTATTCGTCAAACTCATCCAAAGCAAAAGCTTGGTTGGCAAACCTCAGCCAGAACACGTTGTATTTGTACAACTTCAGCGGTTCAACAGATTTCAGAAGAACCACATATCTGATATCAAACTTTACCCGACCAATATCTCCTCGGAAGAAGAGAACGGGGTTCTCAATGTATTTCTGTACCACTTTCGGAGAAGTGTACGCTAGTTTGACAATCATTGCAAGGTTAGAGGTGACGTAGGTACCTCGTCCGCGGGACAGATTCCAAGGTTTGATAATCCAGGAGTTATCAAGACCTGCTTCCTCACGCTCAAGGAAATTTCTCACAAAAACTGGCAACTCGTTCACCAGATCAAACCCTACCGGGCACCACTGGGGGTGCATGTCTTCAGCCCAGCTCTTACTTGGGCTGTTCAAACGGGCGATTATCAGCTCATCAGAGCGCTCCCGGTCCTGGTCATCTATTTTACACCTCCTTGCTACCTTCAGCAACAGATCCTTGCAGCATACCACGTTCTCGTTGGGGAACTGATTTATGATTTTTGTGGGGCGCTGCTCATAGAACTCTTTGAACTTATCAAAGTTGCTTGAAGTTGAGATAAAGTCAGCGTCCTTGTCGGAGTTGACCACTTTAAAGAGAGGGTCAGAAAGAGAGTCCGCCATGAACTTCAAATCTGTAAAAACTTTAATAGGGTCGGATGGAGAGGCTGCCTTCATACGAAGGAAAGCTGGGTGTTCCGAATCACATCGAACTTCTTCAGGGAGAGTCTGGTCCTTCCTTCCATACAATTTGTAAGGGTTCAGTTTCTCCACTTCTTCCATCCGCAAATTATCCCGGTCCAGATCAATGTGATCTCGGAAAATAGCAAGTCGAGCGGACCGCTTGCCAGGATCACTTTCACCGAGAGTGATGTCTCGTGTGATGACAGTCTCCGACGCTATCTCATCCTCTATTGGCCACATCAGGGTCACAGCAAACTGTTTGGTGATGTGGAAAAAGGGTGCCATCTTCATGTTTGGGGTCTCTGAGTGCTGGATCCGTGAACCAAGCTCATCCATCATGTAACAAACAGTTAGTTTCTCGGTGTCCTTCTGGATGGTGTATGTTTCAGCCAGTTCCCAAATCTTCTCTGACAACTTCTCAATCAGTTCCTCAAGGCCAGTCTCCTCCTCCGACTCGTAGCCGTCACCATCAGGGTAACCAACTCCAGTCAGACTAGACATCCTCTGAGCAAGACCTGGGATAGATCTCAGAGCTTTCTTTACCTGTTCAGCATGGAAGGTCCAACAGTGATCCACAAGGAAGATGGTGTTGGCGTCGCTGGAATCAATAGTGGATGTGGACTGGACCTGCCAATTTTCCCCGTCAGTTAACATCATCATGCAATCCCCCGAATCATACTTCTCCAACTCAATCTTCTCAAAAACAGTTCGGTAATACCGTTCAGGTATTCCTGCGTGAACTAGCTGTGCTTTGTGAAGCGTAAGGAAGTCTTGGTACTCGTGGGCGTCCCTCCCAATCATTATAGTCCTAATTATGAGTAATAATTAGTAATGATTAGTGAAAATTAGTAATTATTCAGACCTATTATTATACTGATAATAATTAGAACTAAACTACCGAGAGAGGTTATCAAAATATTGTATTTTGATATTAGATAAAAAGCAAATTGTAAATTTCATATTAACTAGTATGAAGGAAATTGTCACTTCATAGCATAGTAAAACACTTATTATCAATTCAAAAGTTTTAGATTGCAAATCAAGAATGTGGATTTTCATAGCGATAACATACAAAGTTCAAAAAGTTTCTTTTCTTTTTTAACGTGCAGTTAGTAATCACAGTAATAAGAAATATCTACATATATCATTATATATAAATCACATGCCCATTTCAAATCAAAATTAAAAGAGAATTCGTCAAAATCAACAAATACACAATCTGGGGTAGCTATGATCATTCAAATTTCAAATCATAAAACACACAAAAAAGGGGCCAGCCCAGAACCACAACGATTTCCGAACATTCTGCTCAAATTGTAAAGAAAATAGTAACTCTGAAACATTAAATCAGCTCATTACATACAATAAACATGGTCACATTGAACTATGGAGCCCTTTTAAATAAACCGGGATGTACAATGGGCATACTGTGGTAAGGTTTCTAAGAACCTTATTGATGTTATTTAATTTTAATATTTAATTTTAATTAAAAACGATAATGTTAATGATTAATTGGTACATTTTTCATTTTTGCCTATTCGACTGAATACCGTTCAATACCGTTCAAGGGTTCAAGTAATAACATTTACACGTCTTGTCCAAAATAATCCTTAGCTATGAAAAGTTGTATAAAATCTATTTAAAAACTATTCTTTACCTATGCTATAATTATAAAGACTTCCCTATTAATTTGAGAAGAGCCCACTGAGGCAGAATTAAAGGTTCACCTGTCAGATTATAAATACTATTTGTCAGGTTTATTATTCTCAGGATTTAAAGGATCGTTTACCAGGTGCGGCTCGCCCATTCCTCGTACATCTGTGGGTATAAATATTAAAGCACACTCCTGCTCTTCCTCAGAAAATAAACCAGTGGTTTAAGTAGTTATTAGTTAATAGTGGCAGATACAAACTACCTAACCGAGTACCGACTAGTTTAACAGGGAGATGGTCGTAAGACGTCAGTGAATAAATGGTGCTGGTAAACTTTAATAAAATAATGAATAACGTTGAGTGATAGAGGTGGATGCTGCATAGTACCACATTGCTACATGCTTTAAATTATAGAGTTAAATTTCAATTATCGCGATCGAGAGATAAATTTAAGTACAGTACAATTAAAATGAGAGAATTGACTAAAAGGGTCAAATGATAGTGCTAAGTGATTATGGTTGGTGGGCTAGACAGTGAAACACGCAAATGTAGTGTATACTTCGTAAGATTACATCATTAGCTCAAATTATTTGTTATATAGTAGTGTTGAAAGTATTAAAACTAACTGCTAAGTGATGGAACGAACCTGGCGAGCATGGCAGATAGCTGACATATCAGACAACTTGAGTTTGCCTGTCCACTGGTACACATCAGTCTGGTCGGTGAAGGAGAGGAGAGTAGAGCGAGAGGAAACTAGGATAGCTATTACCAGGAACATGTCCAGCGAGAGCAGCTCACACTTACCCAGTCCTGGGGGAGTGGTTAAAGATAATGGTGGATAATAATAGTGGATAATAATAGTAGTGGATAATAATAGTAGTGGATAATAATAGTAGTGGATAATAATAGTAGTGGATAATAAAAGTGGATAATAATAGTGGATAATAATAGTAGTGGATAATAATAGTAGTGGATAATAATAGTGGATAATAATAGTAGTGGATAATAATAGTAGTGGATAATAATAGTAGTGGATAATAATAGTGGATAATAATAATAGTGGATAATAATAGTGGATAATAATAGTAGTGGATAATAGTAGTGGATAATAATAGTGGATAATAATAATAGTGGATAATGATAGTGGATAATAATAGTAGTGGATAATAGTGAATAATAGTGGAAAGAAGTAAATAATAGTCCTCACCTTGCAACTGTATGTAATGGGTCGGTTTAAGGGAGTTGATGGTTGTGAATATCTTCGTCGCCATATCAAATGTTTTGCTTTCCCTCTTAAATGCGAGGAGAATCCACCTGAAAAATGGATTACAGAAAGAAGAATCGAATAAATTTCTTTTTTGAGGACAACCTGTACGCAATTCTGTTCAATTTTGATAATAATCATTCCAATAGTAGTAATAACAATATTGGGGGATTTCCAAACAAAATCTCCATATTTTCGGATCACTATTATTCCGCCCGCCGTTAATTTGTACCCCTATGAATATTTCTCTTAAGTGCAATTAAATCCATTATCTGCTGAATACCCGAGTAGGGAGGTAAGGAGGAAGTTGTGGGTGAACTGTGTGTGTTTTATTAATCAAATTAATAGTGTAATTGTGCTGTAGTTAACCCGTCAATTCGGTCAACAGTTTGGTCACTCGTCTGTACTGACAAGGCGGTGATAATACTGTGATAACTTGGTTAATTGAGTTTATTAATTGCTAATTCATATCATTATCACTTTTTCATTAACATGTGGTTTACGCAGTATCACACTTCTACAACAATGACCCGGTGGTTGCATACACGAGTTTTTCATTTTGGTTTTACCCGAATTTGCCATTAATAATTATTTGTTTGATGATGTTACGATTTAATCGCGATTTAATGTAAAATAGTATTTTAAAAGCCTTTTAAAAATTCAAAATTATATCAATTGTCGCACTTGTTCGCTTTATATTATATAATGATATTGATAACTAGAAATTTAGGTATTTAATATTTATTCATTGGGTAATGTTTTATTCATTAATACTGCTAAAATGCCATAAAAGCATTATATACAACTAACAGGAACCCGTCTAACTCTAAGGTCTAAGCTGGTAACAATTATAGACAACGATATTTATTTATTTATTTATCTCGCGATTTACGCCACTTGGGGGTCCAAATTTCGGGACCTAAAGTTCTTATTCCTTGGCCAATATTTTATTTCTTCATACTGATAAAAAGCCATAAAAGCATTTGACCCAGCCAAAAAATGTTCAATCGTATATACCGCAAGATTTGTAACTCTCGACAGAGTCAGAACTCAGTAATATGGTCAAATCAATTTCGTTACCAATGTCATTTAATGTCAACCAAACATAAAAAGTGGCCTCTTTTAATTTTCACTTTCGATAATTAAATTTGTGAAGTCTTTAAGGTAGATCAGTAGAACTTAAGTTGCTATAACTCCGAGAGTTTACTTATTTTGAATAAGTATGTGTGGACAGTGGACACCACTCAGACGAAGTTAATTTTATCATTATGCCACTAGCAACTAGGGCCTAGGGGTAACTAGGGGTAACTAGGGGCAACTAGGAGTAACTAGGGGTAACTAGGGGCAACTAGGGGTGACTAGTATAGGGGTAACCAGAGGTAAGTAGGGGTAACTACAGTTAATTATGGGTAACTAACTAGGCATAACTAGTCGGCCGCTGAATACCGCTGACACCGAGTTTTTGTCAGACGCCATAAGATCAATATTAATATAATGAATAAAATATAGTATTTGTGCTATAATCTGAACTTACATCGATTATACAACAATAGTGCGGAGAAATGAACTAGATTAACTTTCTGACTTTAGTTTTAATATAATGATCCATCAGTGATCAGTTTCTGCTTTCGGACTATTGAAGTATTGACATTGATAAGCAACTTATGTTCTAGAACTTTGATGATGCACAAAATTTTAAATGACTCATCTTAAAGTATATTATCAAAATAATTGGTCACGCCGCTGTTCGCCGCCGTCGCTAGTTCATTTTCCCAACGAACTAACATTTACGCCACGGTCAACACTGCTTCCTGGGCTCTTGAAAAAACTTACCTTTGACAGAAGAGCATGTTAGAGCAGTCTAGGAACTTCAGTTTATTGTACAATTCCGGATCGTGGATATTAAGAAGTTCAGCTACTCCATCTGAAAGAAACTGAAATTAGTTATTTGTTTTGGAGGGTTGGGCGACTACCTAATACTTCCTAATATTGGTGATAAACAGATAAGGTTGTTTGTGGGGAGGTAAACCATATTATTTTTGATACGTGGAAGTGGCAGTGATAAACCAACAGGCTTCTAGCATCGACCTATCAAAACCCAGCTAGACTATGATTTGGGGGGGGGGCAACCATATTAAAGTATATTAAAATGTAGGATTTTTCCCGATTTTGACCCCGGGATATACTTTAATATACTTTAATATACCTACAATATACTTTAATATATCCCTATCTCCTTGGAGGCCTACATCAAAAATTGTTGCTCAAAATAAGCTTGAAATGCAATTCTTAATCGATTCCAAAAAGTTCTTGAAAAAATATTGAAAACTGATGGAGTTATTTCAATTTTAATGAAGTCATTTTGGATAGTATTCCGAACCGAGATATTATGTGCAATTTTCCCAATTTTGTTCATGGAGGTCTTTTTACTTAGTATCCACTATATTCAACAAACACTGAGTTATATCTTTCACATAGAGTTAGTCTCATTAAAAAATATTAAACTTTTATCGAATTTGGGCAAAAGCGAATTTGGGCAAAAGCGTATGCCCAAATATGGGCATATTTTTTAAGCTCATAGCTCAGACAATTTTTGACCAATCTGGATGGAAGTTCATGTACTAGTCCTAAAACAGGCTTATCTTGCGAATCTGAGTGAAAAATATAGTTCATCATGTAAATCTTATTATATATATAATATATTAAAGTATATTAAAATGTAGGATTTTTTCCGATTTTGACCCGGGGATATACTTTATTATATTATTATAAAACAGGATCTTACCGACAAAAATGATTCTTAAAAATACCTTAATGCGGTAAACTGTACCCTTGAAAAAGATTTTCCCAACATCTGTTGCATGCAGCTATATCTCTAATTTCGTTCAATTCATGCAAGTTGTCCATTTGCAAATTTCTACTACTTAAATCACTTCTTAAAACCGATAACAAGTTCATTCTAGGTCTCCCCAATCTACCAATGAATAAATTATCTGATTCAATAGCAAAAGAGAGAGCCGTTTGGGCTGGGGTGTTCTCCATACTCCTGAGAATGTGTCCAAACATCTTCCACCGCTGGTGTTCAATACGCTTGGATAACTTTTCAACTTTGCACCTTTCATACAATGCTTTGTTGCTTATCATACCTTTAGGCCATTTGATGTTTAAAATGGACCTGAGGTGTCTACGATGGAGTGTGTCCATTTTCTCCATGGTTGCTTTCTTAGGACTCCAACTATTTGAGTTGTAAATCAATACAGATACAACTTGAGCATCATATAACCTCAGCTTTCTTTCAAGGGAAATTTTCTTACCGGACAACCATACTTTTCCAAAGTTCTTAAAAGCAATCTCAGCTAGGATTCTCCTTCTTTGAATGTCCTTCTCAGTACAGAGTAAGGAACCTAGTGACTTGTTACTTCGCCATGGTTCGTTATTAGCTAATGGCTGACCGTTTGTGTCTTTATCAGATTTTTTCGCCAGGTAGAAGGTACTGAATTCAGTTTTACTTTCATTTACTTGGAGGTTCCAGTCTTTGAGAATCTCCTTCACTGTAGGAAGGAAAATTCTCAGTTTCTCGATGTCCTCGTCAGCAAAGTCACAATCGTCTGAATATTCCCACTCAGTTGGAAAACCTAGTTCTGATACTGGTGGGTTTGGTCTCCCAGATACAGCTCTGAGGTGGTGTAAGGCTGCTGCAAGAATAAGTGTGAATAGCTTTCCAGATAAACTGTCACCTTGAAAGGCTCCGAGTAAACTTTCAAACTCTTCCGACAGTGAGGAGTTAACACGAACTCTAAGGAGAGTATTCGATAGAAGGTATTGAACTAAGCGAATGTCGTCCTCCGAACAACCAGCATCCTTCAAAACATTGATGATAGTGTCCCTTTTCACGGTATCAAAAGCTCTACTCATATCAATACCCATTTTGCTAAATGTCCATTTCTTCCTCATCACAACAGATATTAGCATTCTCTGAGCCCACACAATGTCAGAGCAGCTCCTACCTCTCTTGTAAGCACTCTGCCATGGCATGGTGTAGTTGTCAATTCTACTCTCAACCCGTTTTAAGGCAATTTGAGTGAGCATCTTCCTTGATCCGTTTAACAGTGTAAGTGGTCTAAGGCTTGTGAGGGGACCTTTAGGTTTACCGGGCTTCTGTAGAGGAGTCACAATACCTTGTCCTATTGAACTTATGTATTTGTTCCCACTAAATGACTCGTTAATTGCCTCAGCATACTTCTCAAAAGTGATTGGATGGGCGTACTTTATCAACTCATTCTGGAGATTATCTGGACCACTGGCACGGTTTGATTTGAGTTTACTTGCAGCAAGTTCAACTTCAACTGGTGTAATGGGGTTATCAAGTGGTTTTGGATCGCAGGTAAAAGGTTGCAGGCCAGCTTCAACTCCTTCTGTTAGTTGTTTTTCGAAGAAAGATTTCGCTGTGTTTGCTTTCCCTAAATCAGTACCAATAGGGTTGTTGTTGATATCATTGACCACTATGTTACCCGACTTTTTTATTCCAGCTAAAGATCTTGAAGCTTCAAACATCTTTCTAGCATCGTCAGTGTTATTTATTTCTTCTGCTAGAGCGTCAGCCTTCATGTTATTTATTTGCACAAGTCTCTTAGAAATGCTATTCTGAATCTTTCTTACTGCTCTCCTATCTCCACTAACATCACTACCATTTGGGGCTGATTTGATCTTTAGAGTCTGATCACGCTTTTTAGCCCCCCCCCCCCCCCCCCGATTTTTGATTAAAACCCTTTTTTGGATCTCATTATGAAAAGGATATGCAGTAAAGTCATATGAAAGGAGGCGGGTGATTAAGTATTAAAGGCGTCCATCAAGTAATTAACATGCAAGCTTGAAGCACCGTGGGAATTTGGAGTAACCAATTAACACGGAAACCAGAGAAGCAACCTTTTTAAAGTCTCTAATGCCCAACGGCAACTAAATAATTAAGTAGCCATGGCAACTACATAAGAGCATAAGACGTGACCATGGCAACTAAATAAGTAACCATGGCAACTAGATAAGTAACCATAGCAACTACTTTACTTCTACAGTTACCATGGCAGAAAGACGGAGGAGTCAGGTAGTGCTAATACTCTGTGGATCCTTTAACCCGCTAACTTTCACTCACCTGAGGGTTCTGGAGATGGCTAAAGATCAGATAACTGCTAAATCAGGCTAGACTCTTTATTAAACTCATACTAATAGGCTCGACTGAACCTGAATTTTTGGGCTATATTAAATTTAGCGGTTCCCTAAATCATGGTTTAATTAAATTCTTGGCAACCAGCCCAGTTGGTTTGAAATTGAACGTGCCAATATTTTCCATACATACTGTACAGTGTACATTGTACAGTGTACAGTGTACAGTGTACACATGGCAGGGGTCGCATGGGAAATACATGTTATTAACAAACTTACGATCACCTAGTCAAAGTTTTCATTTGTTGGTCAAGTAACGTCGGTCCAGGTTATTAAGTTGGTTCAGGTTTAGTTGCTAATTACTCCAGATTTAGTAGGACCAAGTTTAGTAGGACCCGGTTTAGTTGGTTCAGGTTAAGTTGGTCCAGGTTTAGTTGGTTCAGGTTAAGTTGGTCCAGGTTAAGTTGGTCCAGATTTGGTAGGACCAGGTTTAGTTGGTTCAGGTTAAGTTGGTCCAGGTTAAGTTGGTCCAGATTTAGTAGGACCAAGTTTAGTAGGACCCGGTTTAGTTGGTTCAGGTTAAGTTGGTCCAGGTTTAGTTGGTTCAGGTTAAGTTGGTCCAGGTTAAGTTGGTCCAGATTTGGTAGGACCAGGTTTAGTTGGTTCAGGTTAAGTTGGTCCAGGTTAAGTTGGTCCAGATTTAGCAGGACCAAGTTTAGTAGGACCCGGTTTAGTTGGTTCAGGTTAAGTTGGTCCAGGTTTAGTTGGTTCAGGTTATGTTGGTCCAGGTTTAGTTGGTTCAGGTAAAGTTGGTCCAGGTTTAGTTGGTTCAGGTTAAGTTGGTCCAGGTTTAGTTGGTTCAGGTTAAGTTGGCCCAGGTTTAGTTGGTTCAGGTTAAGTTGGTCCAGGTTAAGTTGGTTCAGGTTAAGTTTGTCGAGGTTTAGTTGGTTCAGGTTAAGTTGGTCCAGGTTTAGTTGGTCTAGGTTTGGTTGGTTCAGGTTAAGTTGGTCCAGGTTTAGTTGGTCCAGGTTTAGTTGGTCTAGGTTGGTTTATTGTATCAATGTTCCTTTCCATCAGGAGTAAGTGTGGTAGGTGGTCTAATATCACCAGCTCATGACGAATACAGCAGACAGAAGGACACTCTTATCTCCGCTAAACACCGTATCAAGATGATACGACTCACTCTAAGTGAACAGGTTACTTTTTATCGGGAGTAACATTTCCCAAACTTTTCTTTTGATTTCAAAACTATTTTCCTTGCACACTAGGACTAAGTAGGAGAAATGTAATATGTTCGGGTTTTACTTCACATAAAATTTTCCTTTTAAAACTGTGATACACGAACTGTAATGAAGGCCAGAAGACGTGGATACGTCTAAATCTTCCAAATCTGCTTTTCCCAAAATCAAGTATGATGAAAGTAGCCGTGAAGGTGGAAACTAAAACTACCCCATCCTCAGGAAGACAAGTGGGTTCAGCTGTGGGACTGGGAGGTGAACCAGCCAGGGTGGAGGTGCACTTCCGAGGTGCTCCTTGAAAGTGAGCGAGCGTGTAGGCAGATCTACGGAGCCGGGGTTAGGGTCATGCTTGTGTGTGGTATTGATATGCTCAAGAAGATGGCGGATCCGGGTTTGCAGGGTTTTATTATTGATGTTTGATATTTAGTAAATTACGATGGAAAGTTATTATTGTTCTGTGGTATTGCCATATTTCTGTTTGTGATAACGAGTTTGTTTGAGTGATTTGTTGCAATCTTACCATGTTTATTGCTCATATATAAGACAAAATTCAAATTTTACGATCAAATTTAACCATAATCCATCAGACGACTACCTACTGAGGGGGGGGGGGGAGCCAAGTGGATATTTGTAGATATTTGTAGATTAATGTAGAATGGATAATCCACGAAAAAAGTGGATGACATTCTACAAATTTATACATTTATCTCCAAAAATTCAGTAGAATTTCTGGGCACATATTTGAGATTACATTTTTTGTAGATAAATGTAGATATTTGTAGATTATTGTCAATGGATAATTCACGAAAATTCTACAAATTCTACAAATTTATACATTTATCTCCAAAAATTCAGTAGAATTTCTGGGCACATATTTGAGATATAAATTTTTTGTAGATAAATGTAGATATTTGTAGATTATTGTAATGGATAATTCACGAAAAAAGTGGATGACATTATCCAAATATCTACAAATATCCACTTGGCTCCCCCCTACTGATATTGCAAGATAATTTACCAAATCCCCTGAAATAATAACGACTAACCAATAACACATTGTCTGTGCATAATATCATACACTTCTTGTCTGCAGAGTGTTGGGCCCCGATAGATGTGGAGTTTATAGTGAAGAGGTATGGTTTATTAGTACACATGCGGAGAGGGTACGATGTAGAGGAGGTACTGCAGGAGTTCCCGGAGCATTACAGGCAGTACATCCACCTGGTACCCAGTACCGTACATTGTGAGGTGAGACTAATTGCTGTGTCAAATAACAACACACTTTTCATCATTAACAGTTTACATCATTATAAACAGTACTATGTATTAGTTTTGTCAGTGGTTAGGTTCAGAACCACTATTAAAGTTGAACCCCCCAGGTGAGCTCTACAGAGATAAGGAGTCTCACAGCACGTGGTCTCAGTACCCGGTACCTCCTCTCTAACAAGGTAGTCACGTACATCAACAAGAACAGACTCTACCAGGGACACACCTCCCCCCGCGTGGTTAACCCCACCCTGAGCTTCACCCCACGCGCACCTGGTCTAATGGTCGCTTACACTCCTCCCCCACGCGGCGGATCTACCGGCGACTACGAAGAGAGTGATGTGGAGTGATGTTGTCATGGTGATAAGGGAGTCACGTGTAATGTTGTCATGGGGATAAGGGAGTCACGTGTAATGTTGTCTAGTGTTTTGGTAGATATTATTTCCTTTTTATCTAGTATTTCGTTTTTTGTTCTGATGATTGTTAGGTTTTTAAAGCACTTGCATGTTATAGGTAATTTAGCATATTAACATAAATGCGATAGAATAGGTTTAGTAAATGTTTCGATGGTTTTGGATTTCCTTTTTGTGCGAATAATTTAATGAAAATGTATAGTTACCGTTAACGAGCCTGTTGCGAATTAAAGACTGCTTAAAATTAATACATAAAACTAATAAATAAAAGATTAAAAAACTACAAGATCAAACGTAGAAAAAAAATTAATTACAGGGTGTTGCAAGACTCGTTTTCAGATATCGAATGCCGCTCAAAATTCACAATTTTTCGACCCAAAGTTTGGCGAAATAAAAAATTGTGAAAAATGATGTTTTAATCCGTCTTTGCTGCCAAAACCTAAATTGTGGGATCTAACATAACAAGCATCTTTGAACTGATTACAACCAATCTGCTCCTTCGTAAATCCAAGAATTAAAATTTCAAATTTGGAGAAGAGTTTTGAAACACCCTGCAGATTAGATATGAAACTCTTTGTTGTTGGGGTTAATTATCTTTACGAATTGTATTATAATTTTGTATCTGATGATGAATATTTTTTATCATTAACCATTCAAACGAAAATAGGGTTGATGGTAAACATTCATATTATTACCAAGCAGATCAATTACATCGAATACAGATATTTTGATGTGATCAAAACTTTTCAAAACTGTTTAGGGTACTCTAATATTTAGAAAATGTATTTTAATTTTAGATTTAAATAATAAAAATATTCATACTTGTATTTAAAAGTTATCAGGGACATGATTACTGGTGAGGTGAGGTAAAATGAATGAGTTAGTGCAACTTCGGTTTAATTTAATATCGATTTTTATTTAAATTTATATCAAATTTACGAATCAGTTAAATTATTTAATCAGGGCTTTTTGTAGCCCCACGAATGCCTCACTCAAGAAACCCTCAAGAAACCCGGACATTATACCAGTTTTAACGCCAGACTTCATTAAATCGGAAACTTTATCGGCATAAAAAGACGGTTATATTTTCCTAAAATGGAATTTCCTAATGGTTCAAGAATTGAACCTCCCAAACGACTTCTTTGACAGTACCATCAAGTGTATCAGCCATGAATCCTATTAATTAAGATGCCCGTCTCGACACACTTAAAATATGCCAACTTTTATACTGCCGGGGCGCGGTATCTTGTTACAAGAATATGGTATAACTTTTAACATTATATATTATATATCTTTATATGTTAAATATTAAATATTATATAAACTGTGTTACTCTGCCCGGCGACTGGGTTATAACTACCCAGTAAACGAGACTAGTAAACACGAATAAGTTAACAGTTTCTGGCATTTTCAGTAAGCAAAATGATAACGTCATGTAGTATAATATCTAGATACTGTTGTGAAGTTTGTTTTCTGACGCGAGATAAGGATTTAACAATCAGCTGAACCAATATTGAACGATCAAAAACCAGAATCACAAATTTAGTTCACCACCATCTACTACTAGATATATTTTAAACAACCCTTCAGGAGCTTTCAGGAATACTAATATGATATTTATGTGATGATTTATTTTTAGTAATTTGCTTACAAATACATTACGAATTAGATAGTAATAGTAACTAATCAATGAATTTTTAGATGCTTTTTAGTAGTGTTGTTCTATAAAATGTAGTTTTTAGTTTTGATTAACTTTGATGTATCATTGTGTTTTATCAAATAATAACTTAAAAATGTCGATGAATCATAAAAATCGTGCCGCAAAGTATGTTAAGACTGCTTCATTGTTAGTACACACCACACATGTGTCCTGGACTCTTGTCCCCTAGTCCCTACGCATGTAATTGCAATAGGACGTTATTAAATACTCCAAATACATATCAACAGTAATTTCTTGATAAGAGTATTAAACTTACTGAGTTTGGCCATGAGCCCGGTCAATACAGACCAACAGTAATATCTTGATAAGAGTAATAAACTTACTGAGTTTGGCCATGAGCCCGGTCGAGTTAAGAGTAATATACTCACTGAGTTTGGCCATGAGCCCGGTCAATACAGATCAATAGTAATATCTTGATAAGAGTAATAAACTTACTGAGTTTGGCCATGAGCCAATAAACTTACTGAGTTTGGCCATGAGCCAATAAACTTACTGAGTTTGGCCATGAGCCAATAAACTTACTGAGTTTGGCCATGAGCCCGGTCGAGTTAAAGAAGAGCTTGTTCCTGAGGACGTAGTTAGAGAAGCCCCAATAAGCAGCCACCTTGTCGTCTACCGTCACTAGAAACATGCTCAGCACCTCGTTCATGCCCTGCACGTACCCTATATCTGCACAGTGAGATTGTTATTATCTCAAACTTTTCTAAATACGCTAAAAGGTAAAAATCATGTTATGAGAAGAAGATATGGGAGGATAAATCAAAAAATGTATTTTTTGTAGATCTGTGTTCCAGCAATCTTCATCAACAGTGATTCGTGCCCTGACGACCAAACACACGAACACAACACACAACACACAAACACAACACACAAACACACAAACACAACACACAAACACACGAACACAACACACAAACACACGAACACAACACACAACACACAAACACACAAACACACAAACACAACACACAAACACACAACACACAACACACAAACACACAAACACACAAACACACAAACACACGAACACAACACACAAACACACGAACACAACACACAAACACACAAACACACAAACACACAAACACAACACACAAACACACGAACACAACACACAAACACACAAACACACAAACACACGAACACAACACACAAACACACAAACACACAAACACACAAACACAACACACAAACACACGAACACAACACACAAACACACAAACACACAAACACACGAACACAACACACAACACACAAACACACAAACACACAAACACACAAACACACAAAGACACAAACCTGGGTTGGTGAAACAGAAGGTCACAAGAAGGTCCCTCAACACATCTGAGTTTTCAGGACTAGAGCTGAAAGATCAAGTTTACAGTGGTGTTACTATGGTGTTATCATGGTGTAGCTGTGTTGTTTCCATGGTGTTACCACGGTGTTATATTCGCGTTTCTATTTTTTTCCATGGTTTTATCATGGAGTAATACCAGTACCATGGTGTTGCTATGGTGTTACATCTGTACCTACTGTTAAAAGATACGGTCTTGATCGGGGACTGTTGTCCTAGCTTCACAGTGCTTTCTTTGCAATATATTCCTACAAGACAAACATAATTGCAGACGATTTCATTGAGACACACCGGTCTTGTGTTCTGGCATACTGTCATTTCTCTGCAATAACTCAAAAGAATCTCAATACAAGCTGGGTTAGTCCTCTGACAGGGAGACCCTTTGACGGCTATACCTGTGAGCAGATGTTATTATGTTACAATGTTACCCAAAATAGACTAGAGATCGCCCAAACTATTATAATATAACGATGTCATTGCTGCCGACTGCCGAGGAAGTGAAGGATCTTTCAGATATAGATATTTCAAATATATAGACAAGGATAAGCATGTTCTTTCAAACGCTAGCTACAGACTACAGAGGCTGGAAACATTTACAATTAACGGTTTATGGACAAACCCCACACTGGTAAACGTTTATACAGTATTACACAGCACACTACTATTATAATGATACACCGCAACAACTCTGATACATTGTAGTAAGGTATATTCTCAGGTATCTCATATTCTCACGTGGAATCATTTATTCCAGGCTAGAAAGATCTTTGCAGAGAAAGATTTCATGTGCTTTCAAACTGTGTTGTTGTAAACACGCGATAGGTTGGCATGTGCTTCAATAGGATATTACATAAATTCGAGAGCGTAAAACGCCAGGTCACTAGTCATAGATGGATTTTTGGACCCAAATAAAAATGTCCGATTTGTGTTGCAAAGAATATTTGGGGTGCAACATGCTCCCAGGGGGGGCCTGGGGGGCAAAACGGAAGGCCAGACCTTCACTATTTTTAAAGGACATTAGAAAAACTTAAGGGGGGGGGGGGGGGGGGGGGCGGCAAAAACAATTTGCGCGGGCGGGGGGGGGGGGGGGTGACATCGACAAAAAATTGAGGAAAGGCCACAATTGGCAAATTTTGGTCATAATTTGTTGGTAAAAATCGAATGTAAATGTTCATTATACCATTCCCGATGTAGCTGAAATACAACTTTATTTATCAATTACAGAACAGCGAACAAGATGGTAATGTTTACTTTCATCAAACATTAATTTAAGCAGCATTAAAATTTTAAGCCGATAAATGGACATGGGTTTCACTTTTTCCATCGACGAGATGTACAAAAAAATCGTATATCATATATTAATAGCAAGGTATGCCGTATGCTGAGGTATTGACTCCCGGAGAAAAAGGCTCTGAATAGGCGAAACGCACTTTTCAGCAGTTTTGACTGTAATTCAATGTTTATTTTTGTCAAATATTAAGTTTAAGCAGCATTTAAGCCGATTCCCATGCACAATATACCACACATTTACTTTTATCTTATCAAAAAGTACATAATATCGTTTGCTGTAATTCAAGATGAATGTTTTGCTTCGTTCGAGTCGAATAACAGTAGCCTAGCAGACTATATTAAATTTTGATATAATTAATACATAATAAATATACCCGCGCAATTGCATTGCGCGCGCGCGCGCAAAGTTTTAAGGAAGGCTGCCATATTGCATTCTTATTTTGTCTCAGCGCCTTACAGAAAGCACTGATCTAATCTGTGTCCATGTGCGACACTTTGTCATTTTCCATGAGGTCTTCGCTTTAATATCTAGTATTATGATCGATCAGACAAATCAAGGAGGTTCAAGTATGCTTCCTTCAAAGGAAGCATACTTACGATTCCAGTCTGAGCACACACTTACATGTAAAATGGATGATCCCGATCTGTTCTAGGAACATCCTTGTTAATAAGGTAAATCAGCTTTTGTACCCTCGCTTTATCAACATTATCGTCTTCATCGTTCTAAATATTAAGGAGAGTAATATAATGTTGTCATTCAATTAAGATATAACATCTTTTTCAATCTGCCTATCACACGAAATTAAGGTATTATTATTATCAAGGTATCTTAATTTTTCGATTTTTACCTAAAGTTATGAAGTAATGACTCAATTTCGTATAGTAAGTTATATATTTTGAAAGTTGATCCGACGATAAGCTGATTTTTGCCGTGGAAATATGAACAAAACGATAACAACCGAAGTGGTATTTTTCAGACACAGTTAATGATTGGTATATTGAACTCACCAGTTGCAGTATTTCTGACCAAGTATTGAACAAGTTATTGAGCTCGTTTTCCTTATTCTTATCCATCAGTACTCTTTCGTTGTGATTAGAGAATGTCTCGTAGAACTCAAACAAGTATTTCCAACCTTCCTGCAGCAACTCTGTTGGCCAATCATCTGAGAGGACGACTCATATTAATTAATAATATCAAATAATAAATAAATGAATCGGGTTTAAACAGCACTATAACCGTAAATACGAATGATTACTTTTCGTACCATTCCATCATCGAGTTGCAATATAAGTTATATGAAACAGAAATCTATGGTTTATATAGTTTCATTGTGTCTTATTATATGACAGAAAAAGTTCAGAAATCGGAATAACGTCACAGGCGCAAAATTTTCACTAACCGTCACAAGTTTCATTAACCGTCCAATAAATACCAATAATGCCTTCAAGTGTCAGATTATTAAACCATCCAACTTTTAACTTGGCAATTCACAGGAATCTGATCTATATTAGTAAAGTGTGTAACCATGGTTACTATAACTATAACTTAAGTTACATAGTTACAGAGATAGTGGCAATGCTTCAAATCAATCCTCTCTCATTGTATGTTATACAGTAGGAAGGTAAAAGCCGCGGTAAACCGGGGTTTGGATTGCTCACCTAATGAATATTATACCCTCGTTTGGGGGATGGCAATGGCCGCGGTAATTAGGTAATTAGGGGGCGTCTTACAGTACTTACATTCCAGCAAGTAGTTATAGAACTGTTGAGCGTCCAACATTTGACCGTCTGAGTTGAACAAGTTGAACCATTCTGTGTGAGTTAACAGTGGTCTGGTACCTGAAACATTTCAACAGTTCATTAACCGAGTAAACATTTCTCATAACCTACCAACTAAACAATGACTATACTGCAGGGAAATCTGTACCGAAGGGACCGTGGCCGAAATGCAATTAGACAGGGAAATCGGCTCCCCGACTGCGGTCGACCAAATTATTATTATTACTAAACAATGATATTTCTCCAAAGCAGCTCAGCCACATAATCCAGCTGGATTGTGGACACATGTACCTAGGCTGAATCGTAGACTGTCAAACTCCCTCTTAAGAAACTCAATAGATCTGTCAAAGAGAGAGGGACTGGTGGATATGTCTCTCTGTAACTGCAATACACCATGACTAGGACTGTGCTGCAGTGAGGGGGTATACTCGGGAACTAGACGGTCACCTAGCACCGGCAAGGGCAGTCCTTCTATCGGCACCACATCTACATACTGCTCCCGCCTTTCTTTATCCAGTGTAACAATGCAATATTTTTCCTCCTCCTCCTCCAACGAGTGTCCTGGATTCTCTAGTAGATCGGTATCGGTACTGCTACTTTCAGTTGATTCAAGTTCAAGGGATTCAGATTTAAAAGACTCAGTTTCCGAGGACACGTTTGTGAGGGGGCTGGTTGTATTGTGGAGGAGGTGATCAGTAGGCAGTCTGGTGTCCTCCAGCTCTGATACTCCATTGCTGGTTAGGCAGTCTCCATTATTAGTTTCCAGCTTGTTTACGCCTGTCTCCCTTACCGTGTCTCCTTCATCCACCCTATCTCCAACATTCCCTTCATTTATCTCATGTTCTGTCTCTTTCAGTGTATCTGACTCTGATCCGGTTTCATCTGTCTTGTTATCATCTGTAGCTTCTCTGAGAACGGATAAGAATTTGTTGAATAGTCCGTCCATAAAGCATGATCACATGACAACCACCATATAACGCCATGTTATCAATATCATCCTGAGATTATCAAGTTGTAAGATAAAGCATATTAGTTAGGACCCAAGCAATTTCACCTGGTAATTTATTCACATGTTACATTATGATCTGGTTTGGAATCTAACCTTTTTTTACTAGCACTTTATCTTATAAAGTTTTACAACTGTGATTCATAGTGAAACAACGTAGAGAGATTGTCTTGGTATTCGATAATCCTAAACTGTAAATATTATATAACATCGACAGCATATACCACAATATAACATGTACGTTAAGTTTTACATCATCTTATTCCAATTCAGATTAAGAAGAAATACAAATTACGCAAAATATAAAAAACCTCTGTAAAAATTAGTTAAAACCAATCTTTAAATTCAACCTTTCTGTTGAGTTTGATAAAATGTTTGAAGAGATACTGTAATGTTAATTAACAATTAATGTGTAAAGATACGTGCAAACATTGTGTACTTAAACCTATTTATTTGAAACGACCTGAAAACTTTTTTTTAAACGACCTGAAGTCCTAAGCTATATTGAGTGAATGATATTTAAAAACGTCTCATGATAAGACAAGACTAAGTTTTCTTTCCAGTTACTGATATGTCATATTATTATAATGACACATTATGAATAATAACAAACTTAGGGAATTTGGTAATCTAGCTAGGCGCACTTGGACTGTAGCCCGGTTCATAAAACAAAAGTTAAACTTTTTCTACCATTACTATTAGAAAAGCAGATCGATAAAGTCTCAAACACATTCCTTCATGCTTTAATCGTCAATTTTATAGATTTTACTTGTTAAGATTGATTTGATATTTTTATTTAGTATGGTTTGCTATAGGAACCGACCGGATTGGGGTTTTGGCTGCCGGACCGGATTCAGCCGGATTTGGATCTCAAATCCGGCAAGCCGGATTTTGCCGGACCGGAACCGGTGGTTTCAGAGTGAAATAAAAGGCAGCCGGATTTTGCCGGTTTTTGCCGGATGTTGCTGGAAAATTTCCTTCCTTTCCACGCCTAATCTTCATCGAGCACTTCTTGCAGCTTGCATGAGGGATCCCATTTTCTTCTGAGTAGAACAACCAGACGGACGATGTTTTAGGTTTACTACTACTCGACTCGACTTAGGGCGGCTTCAACGTCCGAACAGATATAGTTTTTTTACAAATCTTCCTATCTACTACTAGACATTGCTTAAACAAGCAGTACGTAGCAGACACAATGTAACACGAGTAGACACGAGTCACGACACTAGACGAGTAATAATCAGAAATGATATCTGATTGGCATATGCTGCCAGACCCCTGATTGAGCGCGTTTGTGCGAATTCCCTTTTTTTCATGCAAGTCTGAGTATCATTGGGTCACGTGACTTACAACCAGAGGTGCTTAATAAGGTTGTTCGTAAGCAGGCACTGTCTAGTACAGTACTAATCACCGTCTGGCGTCTAGAGCTGAGTCACATGATTGCAGTAATGAGCTAATTAAGTAGCTACCCAGACCCTGAACACGTGACCTTCATATTTCGTATTTCATAATCAGAAGATTAAATACTGCCAATTTTGCGATTATAGCCGGGGGCTAGCCCAGGGAGGTAGCCCAAAATATTTTCCGGTTTTTTCTAAGGCCGCACCTACCCCTCGATACACTATTCTGTATTCTGGACTCAAGGTTTCCCCCGGTAATGCGATCTTGGAAGGCAGGCCTCCCCTTTGCAACACGAGCTCGGAAGCGGGAGCTCTCGATACAGGAGCTGTACGTCTCGAGAACGACTCGGACCGAAAACTTTTAAGTTACAATTTTCAAAGTTTTTCTGAAAACCACTTTTTTCCACGATTCAAGCTACCCTGTTCATTATTAGCCGAAAATATTTTTTCGGTTTTTCGGAGTCCCCACCTACCCCTCGATGACGATACACAATTCTGGACTCGAGTTTTCCCCTGGTAATGTGATCACGGAACGCAGGCCTCCCCTTTGCAACACGAGCTCGGAAGCGGGAGCTCTCGATACAGGAGCTGTACGTCTCGAGAACGACTCGGACCGAAAACTTTTAAGTTACAATTTTTCGAAGTTATTCTGAAAACCACTTTTTTCCACGATTTAGGCTACCCTGTTCATTATTAGCCGAAAATATTTTTTCGGTTTTTCGAAGTCCCCACCTACCCCTCGATACACAATTCTGGACTCAAGGTTTCCCCTGGTAATGTGATCTCGAAAGGCAGGCCTCCCCTTTGCAATACGAGCTCGGAAGCGGGAGCTCTCGATACAGGAGGTACGTCTCGAGAACGACTCGGACCGAAAAACTTATAAGTCAAAATTTTTCAAAATTTTCTGAAAACCACTTTTTTCCACGATTCAGGCTACCCTGTTCATTATTAGCCGAAAATATTTTTTCGGTTTTTCGAAGTCCCCACCTACCCCTCGATGACGATACACAATTCTGGACTCGAGTTTTCCCCTGGTAATGTGATCACGGAAGGCATGCCTCCCCTTTGCAACACGAGCTCGGAAGCGGGAGCTCTCGATACAGCTGTACGTCTCGAGAACGACTCGGACCGAAAAACTTCTAAGTCAAAATTTTTCAAAGTTTTTCTGAAAACCACTTTTTTCCACGATTCAGGCTACTCTGTTCATTATTAGCCGAAAATATTTTTTTGATTTTTTTTTCGGTAAAAAAACTGAAATCCGGCAAAAATCCGGCAAATTTTTTTCCAGCCGGAGCAGGAACCGGAACCGGATTTTGAAGCCGGATATCCGGCCGGAACCGGATTCAGCCGGATTTCCGGTCGGTTCCTAGTTTGCTAATATAATAATAGATTGAATACGGCAGTTTATGTTTAAGAATAAAATTATCAATATCAAACAACATTTACAAATTAAATCTAATTAAGTTAGAAGTCCACTCTTCAGCCTCCAAGAAGGAGTGGGGCACTTCCAGAAGAGCAAGTCTGATCTCGGTCCAACGAAGTCTATCAGGCAGGACTTCTTGGTGAGGGCGGGAAGAACAGGCTTTCCGATTTCAACCTCAACTGATGGCAGCATGCTGATCTTCGTTGCGATGCTGTTCCTCGTCTCCAATGATAAGGACTCGTCAAACAAAGCCAAAGGTATAATGAGATCTTCTGTCAGGTACCAAGTGTGCCTGTTTATAACAGTCGCTGTTGAACAGGATACTGTCTTGGTGAACTTCGTGAACTTCAGGATACGGTTGTACAGCTTTAGATCGTTGGCTGCAGCTGAGAAGAGGGACCCCGAGGTAAACCATGCTTCTAGGACCTAGAATCTAGGTACACGAACACGGCAACCAGAGCCATTTGCTGGATCTTCTTTTTCGTCCTCCAGTGAAGCCCAAGCTGATGGCGAAGTAGTGACATCTTCAGGAGCAGATCATCCAGCGAGCGTGGTGGTCTGCTCCTGGTCTCTGTATGTGGTATGTGTATCCTTTTTTCCTTTCGATAGTTCCTCCAAGGATAATCTTTGCGAGCTCTAGCTCTCTAGGTACTCCTGATAATCTCCTCTGGCCAAGTCTTTCACGTTCTGATGTGACAATCGAAGGTCGATGAAAGCAAGAAGGTCTTCCGTCTCTTCTTTGTAGGCGGCAGGGATCTCCGGGAGCTTCATGTCCGTACAAGTTGGGTAGAAGCTTCCCGTCGAAGTTAATTTGAGGGGCCAGCTTCTTTAGGCAGTCCTTAACTTGGAGATGTCGACTGTTGTTCCAGAAGGGCGAGAAGAGCAGAAGCGTTTAGGAGTGTACTCCTCCGTAGAGTTTATCGAGTTCATCGAGTCACCGTCGGGAGAGGGTTCCAGAGTGAGTGAAGAGGAAGCTTGAGGTGTAGTGGCTGAATGAGCAAACTTGAGAAATTTCTCCACTCATGCTAGTTTCTTTTTCACTGCTATTTTAGTATTCCAATCCCTTGTGGAAGAGATGGTGTTTTGCCAATGGTTGAGAAGGAAATTATGGTCTTCCTCGGTAATGAGGTTGGAAGATCTTAGGAAGGGATGTCGAACAAGTCGTCCAACGTCGATAGGGAAGCGGCTTCTTTCTTCTTATAGGTTTCCGTTTCTCGTCGAGATGTTGCGACTTCCATGATTTGCTTGTAGTCAAAATGAAGACTTAACATATGTTTTGTAATAGTGGTGGTGTCATCAAGATATCTCCGTATCCAGCGTACTCACTACTCCCAAAGCTCCACAAGTTCCGAGGTCTTTACAATCTGGACAGCTTCAGATATGCTGAATAAGCCGTGGTTCTCAGGTTCTGCTCTAGGCTCTCGGACATGATCCTCCGAGTAACTGCGCCATATGTTGGGAATTTAGAGAAGGACAGCTTATCAAGCAGGGTTGAAAGATGAGGAAGTTCTCTTCGTGGTAGTTTTCGTTTAGGCATGTTGATTGTTGATTGTAGAGATTGATGATTAGATATTTATTGATAATTATTATTATTATTAGTTAGTTATTTGGCCTAAGGAACAACAGATAAGCCTATTACCACAATTATTTGATAATACTTTTGTTTTATGAACCGGGCTAACTTGGAGCACAGTTGGGGAACACTTAGGGAACACTTGGGGAACACTTGGGGCACACTTGGCGCACACTTGGGGCAAAATTGCTTCTTATATACGAAGACAGTATTAGACAGTTTTTCTCAGGAATTAAGTTAATTTTAAAGTTCTGATGATCTGAAATACTTTACAAATTATCATTATATTAGCCAGATGTTGTATATTATATTATATAAATTGTTTTCAGAATCAATTTATAATTATTAAAATTTTAAGGATCAGAAGATTGTTTACTTTTGCCGATTTGCCTGAAATTCCCGTCTCAAACTGTGCCCCAGGTCATCTTTTCTCCCAAGTGTGCCCCATCTGCTTTTGCTGCAACTGTGCCCAAAGTAACTTTTTCCCCAACTGTGCCCCAGGAATTTCATTTTAGTGCCTCAACTATGCCTAGCTAGATTACCAAGTGGCCCAAACTAATTCACAATGATAATATTTAAGCAATACATTTTTACACGATACGTATCAGTGTATTATATACCATTATTAAACAAGATATTGAGTACAGGTATTAATGTTATCGCATTATCAGGATAGTTAACATTAAGTTTAATTACATTAAGGAAATCAAGAAGTTCAAAATCTGTTTCAAATAACAACACAGTTTAAAAATACAAGCCCTTGGATTCGATCAAGATTACAAACTAGATATAAGACTCCTTAAGTTTGTTCTACGATATCCAAACAATCATCATCTTCAAGTTCTAGTTCCATTGGCGTCTTCCTGGGATCAATAGCGTCTCCATCGAAGAAATATTTCGCAGCCTGGTAACCAAAATCCTGGCAAGCTTCAAATAGGCATTCCACCAGGGGTTTCGTCTGAGATTGTGGTATTAAAGCATAGATGTGGGGTATAAGATTTAATATAAGAAATTTGTAAACAATTTAAATTCGTAATTGTCACTTCAAACACATTTAACGACATTCAGTGTTCATTCATTCTCATTGAGATGCCCTAGACATTACCTTGATCGCTTCGTATTCTCTAGTATTGTTCCTGAAGTCAGTAGATTGAACTTTGATTTTAATAACATTCTTACGGTCCACGATCTGTACTTGTGCTGCTGTGCTTTGAGGCACACTTCCTACCAACACGTCTGAAGGTAAACACTGTCAAATAAAGAGGCTATCGGATCACAAAGACACGTTAATTCTATCAACATTATACGCTAGCAATTTTGTAATTTCACGTCATATAGACTGAGTCCCCTGGCCCTATAAAAATGCACATGGAAATGAGAATATGAGATAAGTTTAGTGGTCTCAGATGCCAATTTCATCCGCAACAGGTACCTATAATGTCCACGACAGTCAGTCCCAGCTGGTTGGGCGTCCTCAGAGGATCCAACGTTTCGTCATTTAATTGTAGGATAAAAAGCTCTGGTTTCACGTTGTATTCCGGAGCAAGATGGTCCAACACCGTTTTTAGAGGAGTATCCTGGGATACACGAAAATATCATTTATCTAGACAAGACTGCATGAAATTGGAACCTTTTTTCACTTATTGCTGCTCTTCTGTACAGTTAAAAAACATGAAAACTGAATAATTATATCCAAAACAAATTTACACTGACCGTTTTGATCTTAAAGCGATGTAGGTTGCTTCCTTTCCTCATCTTCAGCATGAAGGGCCTGTCAGCTCGGACATTATCATCAGCAACCACATAACTGCTATGTGGGAGGTCCTCCTCTACCGTGTTTATCTTGCTCTTGAACTTATTTAGCACACCATCTATATTGCTGTGGTCAGTAAAGGGTGTTAATCTTATGATGAGAGTTTAAATAGAATAATTAAAACTTTTCTGCATACTTATAATTTATATTATATCCAATCAAAGGTGATTTTTTTTGCTGAAATGGCAAATGGTCAAAGACAATTTTTAAATCTATAACTTGTACTTTTGGTGCTTTTTGCATTGTTGCATCATTTCAAACTTACTGAATCAGTTGTTCTCTCTTTTCGGCAATCTTCTTGAACTTTTTGGTTGGTTGTACTTGGATTGCATTTGCAACTGGATCAATATCACTGAAATATCATAATATATATCATAATAATACTACAGTCTAGATATTTCATGACATGAAAAATGGATCTTTAATTGTAATTTGTAAAATGCGCGTAGATGAAATGAAAATGAATGAAATGAAGAGTTACAATTAATATAAGAGTTGTTGTTCAATGTCAAATTTATGCACTGTGAGTAATTGATTAACTTGATTTACACACTTGTTTGAAACATCAAAAATCTGTTGGTAGCCCAAAACGATTTACAATTTATTTAATGCAATCATGAGCGGCCTTGTTCTCACTCACCAGATATTTGCAACAATATTGTCATAGTGACGAATTTTTTCTGACATAGCAGTAGAATCTTCTGTCATAGAATTGATTTCAACATCATTTTCATTGCCAGTTTGGTTGTCTGCCTCATCAATGATGTGTGGAGCGTTGAGTCGCTTCCGTTTGTTTTTCCTCATGAATAGACTTCTGTCATTGACAACAGGAGATTCGGTCTCATCTTTTTCACTATTTGTAGGTGATGTTGGAGGTGTACTCACAATTGTTCTTTTGTTTGCAAAGGAAAATAGTCCTAAATCATCATCACTAGAACCACTGTCAGTCATTTTCACTGTGGGGAAATTATAGATATTAATAAAGCTCATAATGTAATCAAGAGAGTAAAGATCCATAAATTAAAATTTAACTATAATATGCATAGTGGTTAAATTAAATTGTACTCTAGTTCTATTCAGCCCATATACCAACCAATAGTTGCTGGAGCTATGACTAAGTTTGAGAGTGATCCATGAGGTCTGCCTGCCAAACAGAAAAACAGCTATAATTTTTGTTTTTGGGCCACAACTTCAGGAGCAAGATAAATTGTAATGACGTGGACTTGTTTATTTAGAAGCAAACGACTTACTGTAGCAACATCCAAATTCCGCATTATGTAAAAAGGCAACTATACTGTCAGAAAAACTTAAAGATCTTAATGCTGTGCAGCTTCCAGAAACCACAGTTCAAGTTGACCTAACAATCTACACAGTTAAAAACCAGTAATAAAACATATTTCAGCAGAAACTAAGGAGATTGCTTTCCAGTTCAAGGCCAATCTAATTCTCAATGCTGATAACCATTATATAATATACAATGTAACTGCCTTCATATTAAAACTAAGAAATCGTGTTACATGTATTTTTCACCAAATACACACTACGTCCTGATAGGAAATGCAATCAGTGGCGTAACGAAGGGCACCGCTGACCCCGCTGTGCGGACATTAAGCATGATTTGCACGCGTAGCGCATTCCAATGTTCAAGCAGCTAGCACGTGACACAATTCAGCCACTCAGAGTACAGGAATCCGCAAAGTTAAAGTTGCAAATTTTGATACAAGACGAACATGTTACAAAAAGTCTCTAACTCTTTTACTTTCAAAGTTAGGCCCCATCCAGTAAGGGTTTCTGGGTGCAGCTGACTGATGGCAAGTAGGGTGTTTTGGCCGTTTAAACTTAAGACTTTCAAGAATTAAAGCAGCCATACAACTTTCAAGAGCTAGAATTAGCAATATTTTGTCGTTAAAATACAACTTAATAAACTGTTTTACTTCATGATTGGGCCGTAATTCAAAAGCCAATTTGACAAGAAGTGGAGCTCATCGGCTCACTTAACATCAGTTGAGTGACCATGTCTTGAGACTGGACAGCAATGCAGGCATATGAATACGAATACGAAAGATCCTTGTGTTTGGCATGTAGTAGCTCTAATTGGATACTTCGTCATCAGTTATGATACCCCATCCAGTAAGGGTTTGGCCTGGGTTTTTGGGTAAAAGAGGAGGGGGCACTTTTTCGGCATGGGGCACCAACATGCAACTGAATGCTATAACCTGGATGTCGATGGCATCCAAATAAAACAAGTGTCTGAAACTAAATTCTTGACTGTGCAATAAATGACAATAAACTGAGTTGGATACCCCACAACGAAAAGCTGGTCAAGAAATTGCATTAATTGCGGCACAGTAGCGCATTTCGCCGATCTGGCCAGGAGATCTAGCTGTGAGAAGCCTCATTAGTAAAACAAAATTTTTTAGTAAAACAAAATTTTTATTTACCACAAAACAATCAATACATATTTAATATTATTATACATTTACAAATAAATCTAAATTTAAATTCAGCTATATACACAATACACAGCCCGCAGCGCAGACAGCCACACATTGCTGAGAGATTCTTAGGTGCAGATGTAAGCGCCGCGCGCGCGAGGTTTGTTATTTTACAATTACATGTCACGATATATTATTAATTATCAGAGAATTTTAGAAGCAAAATAATAATTGCATATTGGGAAAATTTCGGTCGTTAACGCAGTACAGGGCGTGGACACTGCAATGCTAATAATGGAAAATTTTGAGGCACGAGTTTCATTCAGCTACCCAATTTATATGTAACATGTACTTGTATTAAATTCAGATAAATGTTAGTAACAATCGACGTCAACATTGTGCAACTGTAAACTGCAAAATGTTAACGTCGATTATCATTAAATCACATCTCGCAAGTTACTAATTCTTTGCACTATATATGTTACGTCACTATAGCATATAATGTCATTCATATTGTACGTTATATAAGATAAAAATAAACATTTTATAATTGTTTCAATGTTCAACACTGCTAAAAAACAAATACCTACTTGCCCATCGATTAAGCAGTCGCCAAAACAAGGCTCAAAGTTAATTTACCTTCACACCTCGTTTTGGAGACTGAAGGATGTCAATAAATAAATAATGGATAACATTAATACTGAATATGATGGATTATCAGTAATATCAATAAAATCCACAATCACTAATCATGTTTTCGATGGGCAAGCACTCGCAACTGGATGCTGAAACAAACGGCGCAAGTCTTGCACCGTTCATGCAGCATACGTCGCGAGATATCATGAGCTCCGCTAACTCTGCGATTCTAACGGATGAATTAGGCTACCCCGACAGAAACACAGGTAACAGGGGGTCGTGGAAGGACACGAACACTGTTCGTTAACTCGTACCCCGGGTACCCCCTATATAGATCTATGTCCCGCCGGAGAGAGCCCACCACCAGTCATATCGAAAGCAGCTTTTAATTCTGCATTATAAATATCGCGTCGTCATAATAAATAATATACATTACCACTACACACTTGTCACTACACACTTTTATGCACAGTTCAACTAAAATATTAACAAGAGACAGAAGAGTTTTACATCGGCTCAGCACCGCAAGGACGTTGGCTATACACGTGGTTCATAAATTAGTTTGATTTGGGTACTGTTCGACCGGGAAAGTGGTCAGGATTAGTTCTCATAATGAGTGATCACTGTCGTCACATATATTAGAGCGGGAACTCCCCCAGGTTCCGGACGAAACGCGCACAGTATTTAGAGTATCAGCGCGCAATGCTGTGCGCGTTCATTCCCATATTGTTTTATCATTCGGCGATCGCGTTCAACGTGACTGGTGAGGAAGTGCTATGTTGTTTACCTAAATTCAAGCATGGTATCCATAGATAAGATTATCAGTCAGTAAGTGGGAATAACAGGCAAGTATCACTTCTCACTCAGAATTCAGTGAAATTTTTGTCACACCAATCAGTTCCATACCTGTTTTGAGCTCTTAGAAGTGACTGTTTAAGCAAATTCTTGACAGAGCTGCAAGGGGAGGTGAAATTCATCGGCCCAACTTTACGAAATTCGTTCCACAGCCATGCAGATTTGTACATAAATTGATTAGTTGGAGAGGGCGTGATTAACAAATTATCTTTCCTATTTGATAAGCCGAATAGGTAGTATAACGAAATTGGTACTCGTGACTTAATGATCTTAAACAATTCGTTTAAACAACGGTATCTGTATAGGTTCTCTATAGCAAGTAGTTCGTGTTTTGTGAATAGAGGTTTGGTGGACTCTTTAACATAGAATTCAGATCCTAGACGTTGAGAATTAATTGGTCTTGCTCTAGCACATGTCTTGAACTTGTCTACATAGGCTTCAAAGTCTCCAAAGAGAATCCTGATACACTTCTTTTGAGTAATAAATAGCGGTTTCAACTGATTATTGGGAATACCTCCCCAGACAGAAATAGCATAACCTAGGTGTGATTCAAAAAGGGAATGATATATTTGCTTATATAGTGATTCTGGCAAGCATTTCTTAATACGGTAGATACGTCCACAAGCACTACTTAGTTTCTTATTGAGAGATAATATGTGTGGTTTCCAGCTTAGTTTATCATCAATGATTACTCCAAGAAATTTTGTCTGACTTACACGTTTAATTATTTTGTTATTTATGGACAAGTTTTGGCTATCTATATCTGCATTTAATTCGCTATTATCACGTTTAGAGGGAGAAAAGTACATATAACAACACTTCTTTACATTAATGTGCAGTAGGTTAACTCCCATATACTTGTTTACGGCCTGTAGTACTTCATTAGCCAATTCGTATGCTTTATTTTTCGAATCGGCAGCGACAAATATATTAGTATCGTCTGCAAATAAGACAAATTTGCCCTTATTAGTTATATTGCAAATATCATTGATATACAGTAGGAAAAGTAGAGGTCCTAATACACTACCCTGAGGGACTCCAAATTCGACCGGAAATTCATCAGATTTGGTATCTAGAACATTTACAAATTGTTTCCTATAAGACAAGTAACTTGAGATAGGATTCAGAGATAAGATTCAGAGATTCTTATACCGTAGTTTTTTAATTTAGTAGTTAGTTTACAGTGATCTAGAGTGTCAAAGGCTTTTGAGAGATCGATGAAGACCCCTAGGACATGTTGCTTTTTACTAATTAACGATTCTATATGTTCTACAGAGTAGTTCAGTGCATGGCTGGTGGAGTGTCCTTTCCTAAAGCCGAACTGGTTTTCATGTATTATCCCCTTGGAAGTAAGGAAACTATAGAGCCTCTTATAAATTAACTTTTCTAGAATTTCCCCGAATACAGGTAGAGTTGATACATTGAGTGCGCGGCACGGCACAGTAACGCATCGCGCTACAAGAAATTGCAGTATATGTGGTTGCAACTATTGTATTAAGAGTTCAATAAAACAAGAAATTCATTGAAACAAAAAAATTTAATTTTAGCACATTTTGCAGAATAAAAAGATGTAAAACAATCCTTTAAATATAATTTATTTTGGTGTATGACTTTTTGTCCTTGACTGCTAGTTTGGTTTTGGAAGGACAGGTAAATAACGGGGCAAAGAATATAATGCGCGTGCCTGAAAGCTTTTCCACACACCGAAACGCTAATTCAGTTAAGTTGCCTTCCTTTCCTATCCTGAACACTTTGATACTAAATTGTTTGTAGCGCAATGCACTACTGGGCCGCACCGCGCATTTTACCTGAGGACCCCAGGCTTTAATGTTGTTAAACAACAATAGAGATTAGGCGGAATGACAGGCTGAGCGCGGCCCGGTAACGCGCATTCAATAATTCTCTTCGCAACCACAGAGATTGGCCAAATTCATTAAAATGGGCTTTTGTTCTCCGAGCTGCGAATGATTGACATCGTGAATCAACTAAATGATATGGCAATAGTAGGGGTTACTTAACCATGTGC